GTTGAACGCTTCTTCTGAATGACGGCACCTCCAACAAGAATGCAGCGCACCCCCCCAGCACGACACTGCCATGTCAGCCAAGACGATGCAAGTTCAAAGTTCCCAACATTCCTGAGATGAACATCCATCGGGAAAACAGTCAGATCCCGGGGCCTTGGCTCAGTTTAATGTTTCATCCGAAATGGTGGCACACACCATTGACAGCCCCCACCTACCCGCCCGTCACGCCAAATCTCCCATTTCACCCGCTTTCTGACGCGCAAAGCATAGACCTATACTTGGGCCTAGGATTTATTCCAAACAGGTGACACGATCCAGGAATGTTGCTATTACACTGGGAGTGTTGATAGAAGAGAAATGTATACCTTGGCAGTCCGTGTCTGAGAACTTACAGGTTCAGCGATCAAGTACAGTACCTGGGAAAAGGTCTCATTCCTGTTTTTCCCCTAAAAGGAAATATCTGCCCAGGGACTAATCATTAACTAGCAACTGAACGCCACTTACTGACCAAACACATTGACTAGCCACCTGCTGAAGCAGTTTATTGACAAGCAGAGGTTAATAGTAAAACCAGAGGATTGGCTATTGTTTGGCTAAGGTTAACATTAATGGCTGGGATTTACAACCGTCATCCTTAAGGGGGTAAAAACACAGCTTGGAATGATAAGTTGCCATGGCGATACGTTCCGGGCTTAAGTTTTAAAATGGGGCGGGAAGGGATCAGATACCTGAGAAATCAAATACATGTAAAATTATCAAAGGGAAATCAGTGGATTTACCAAACATTCCATCCCTCGATGATACCCGACAATCACCTGCGATTGCACAGACACTGCAGTAAAGCCCTCACGGCTCAGCGTGTGCGCACATTGGCTGTCATCTTCGGCCACAAAACACGCGGTCACTCCACTTGACAGAATATCCTGCGAGGCGCTTTGAGACAACAACAAGAGCAACAACAACATGGTACTTATATAGCGCCCTCCACGCAGGGTAGAGTCTCAAGAGATGTCCTCCCGACGTGAAAGGCGCTATAATCAAATGTATTATAAACCCTGTGAAACATTGTGAGGCATTGCGATGAACCGATAAGCCTCCATATCAAATGCAGGGTTTATTATTATTAATTATGGTTTTAATTATGGAATGTTCGATTTGCGTTTGGTTCCGATTACTTTTAAGAGGCCCATTTTGGACAGAGGATTGAACTTACACTATCTCTGATACTTAGACAAACACCGACAACTTGCATTTATATAGAACCCTTCACGATGGCAGCATCTTGGAGAGCTTAACAGTGGCGGAGCCCGATGCCAAGCCAGGAGGGGAAGAGGGAAATACATACCCCGCACAGCTGAAATCCTTTCGTCAAGGCAGACTGAGAACTGGGCTCCGGCACAAACTCTCTTTTCAATCTTTTGTTGGTCTGTACCCACAAGAGGTACAGATTAGGCAATGGTGGCATTAGCTGTGACACTGTAAGGATGCCAACCATCCCTGTGGCCCTGGAGAGGTGCCAACACCCCCNACTGTGGCTGTCAAGACACACTGTGCATTGACCGGGAGAGGAAAACAAAGCTTGATTTTTTTTTTGTAATTTCATTTTTCAACGGTTTTTGAACAGAAAGCAAAGAAAATGTAATAATGTCAAGTCAATGGCAATGAAGTTAGATACTGTATAAAATGCAGACCTCTTCAGCCTTGGTTTTTTTTGTATTCCACGCAGCTTATTTTGATTAAGAAAAAGTTCTCTTTGCAAGGCAAATCTCTTATTTCTGCTGTACCACAGAGGCCAAAAATAATTTAAAATATTTCCCAATTATTGAATTTGTGATTTAGGAGTTGGAGGGTATTTATTATATTTATGCCTTTGGGATTTTATTATAATAATACTTGCATTTGATATAGCGCATTATGTTGTTGAAATGTCTCAAACATCTTCACAGGATTTTACTGTGAAGTGTAACCATTGTATATTTATATAACATAAGTATATTATAAATATCAACGTCCACAAACTGCCAAGAAGCTAGTGACTGATTTTATCCAGGAGGATTGCTAGCCAGGACACCGGGAGAAACTCCCTCCTCCTTTTTGAAATCTTTTATATCCACTTGAACAGGAAACATGACCTCAGTTCAACATCTCATGCGAAGTCATGGGTTGTTTGTGGGATCTTACTAGTGCAAAGGGCAGCCACGTTTACCTACAAAACAATGGACTTCATAGTAATTATCTGAGAAATCCTATTAAACATTCTCAATTGTGGTTTAGGTGCTATGAAAATAATAATAATACTTCCATTTGATATAGCGGCTTATTGGGTCGTCGAGGCGTCTCAAAGCACTTCACGGAATATATTGTAAAGTGGATTAACTAAGTATTTTGTGGGCGAATCGCGGCAGCCAATTGTACACAGCAGCGTCCAGCATACAATCATGGCTTAAGTAATCATATTTTTTTGAGGGATTGTTAATAATAATCCTTGCATTTCATATAGCGCCTGATCCCGTCTTCAGGACGTCTCAAAGCGCTTCACGGAACATACTGCAAAGTGAATCGACTGTATATTCTGTGAGCGAAACATATTACTCCAGAAAAGAAAGAATGAAAGGGAAGAGAATGGTATGGGTGGGGTGAAGGGAATATGGAGTACAAACTCCAGCATGGACTAGTTGTGGCGAATAGCCTGTTTCTGTACCGTATGTTCTATGTAAATCTAAAGTAAATAAAACCCAACAAAAGTTGCCACACTGAAAACGGGGTCAGTTGCATTGCTTTCCGGCTCGCCCTAGCTGGTCAAGCAATGGGAAGCTTGCCAGAGAGTGCTCCGACTGGTTGGGCACCAGCAGTTACCACTAACCCACACATTGGGGACCTTGGCTCGGATTGGCAAGGCTTATTAAGCCTTGGCTCTCGCCAACCTACAACTGTTACTCTCCGGCATAAGGTAAGCAGGTGCGTCCCTCCAGGGAGAGATTGCGCAATCCATTTCAGTCACAGGGAGATTTTGGCAAACTCTCAGTCAGTCCGGTTTGAATACTCTTAAGCACGGTGACGGGTTTCCGAGTGTGTCAAGACACCCAGCTGACCAAAAAACCTACACCTTTCCTGCGAACGATGCAGTGGGATTTGCTGATCTGTGCCTCATTCCTGTTCAATGCATCCAGTCGTAAATCAGGTACTGAACTCAAAACGAAATGCCTTCGAGAACCAATCCGAACAGCTGTAAAGACAGTCAGAACGGACTTTGAAGACAGAGGAGCACTTGAGCCAAAGTGTCAAAGAAATATTATATCTTTGCCTAGAGTTGCTTGGAGTTTGTACCACTTTAGGGTGGATTAGAACAAAAAGTTTCAGCCATCAAATAGAATGGCTTTGGAGACGTTAAGTGCTCTCTCTTTTGCCCTGAAATCAAGTCCACATAATGCATGTGCTACTACGGTATTGGAGGGAGGGAGCGAGAGAGAGAGAGAGAAGAGGGAAAAGAGGAATGGAGGGGAATGATGGATCCTTCTAATATCGAGTCTTGCTTGAGGCTGTTTAAGGTAATATTGTTCCTTTAATTCTTCATGTACAAGACAAACTGATTAGCATTATTGAGGCCGCTGGCTAGTTTCAAACCTGTTATTCCAAGCGTCCTTAAAAGTATGCAGAGGAGAGTGGCAACTTACGCACCTCAGAGTTTGAATTGAACCAGCTCAGGAGAAAGACAATTCATCCCCAGTTGTTAGTCGATTGGCGGGTCGCTTTCTGGGGTAATAATCTCCCCCTGTCGAAAATAATAACTTGGTCACTCGATCCGCGGCTGTATGTGGGACACGCTGCTGTGCGCAATTGGCTGCTGTGTTTCGTCCACGAAATACAGTCACTGCACTTTACAGCACACGTGTGTGAAGCGCTTTGAGACATCTCGACGACGCGCTAAGGCGCCATATCATCAACAACAACAACGACAACTTGCGCTTATTATAGTGCCCTGCACGCAGGATAGCGTCTCAGAGCGCTCAACAGGGGCGGAGCTTGACTCCGAACCGGGGAGAGGTGGCCGTAAGCACAGTCGAAGAGGAAGGTGTCCAGGCGGGAATTGAAGAAGGGGAGAGAGGGGGGTGGGGGGGGGGTGGGGGGGGCAAGGCGGAGGGACTGAGGGAGAGTGTTCCAGAGTTTCGGGGGCACAGCGGCTGAAAGCGCGCACTCCGATGGTGGGGCCGGAGGGCGCGAGGGACAAGTGGGAAGCCGGTGCCAGTCGAGCGGAGGTACCGGGTGGTGGATTGGGGAGTGAGAAGGTGGGGGAAGGTAGGGAGGGGCCAGAGAGTGAAGGGATTTGAACAGGAGAGCGAGGATCATTATTATTATTATTATTACAATAATGAATTAAAAGGAAACTCAGAGATGCAGACAGAATCGACTGCTCGCCTCTCTCTGTGTGTGTCTCTCTCTCTCTCTAGCAGTTTGCTCTTTCTAAACTGCAACACAAATCCGCTCACCACAACTCACACACACACACACACACACACTCACTCACTCTCTGCCTCAAATTGCAATGGTCGCTTGAATTCCACAAAGGTTCAAATCCAACCCGAACAGGTGCCACGAGGATCAGAATAATACATGTCTGGATTTGCCCCATCTCTTCCCTCCACAACCTGGCTGGGACACATTTAACGCAATAAAATCTAAAGGCTGCAAAATCTAAACCTAGTCAAGACAGTCACATAAAGACAACAGAGAGGGAGAGAGAGAAGGGTGCAAGCTTAACTTACCCTGTTCTTACAATGCACTCTTTTTTTTAATTTCTCTCTCTCTCTACGTGTGTCTTTGTTCCAGGAATGGATCTGTAGATTATTTTGCTATGTTTGCAAGGTTCCCCTCTTCCAACAAATGCATTTGCAAGAACCCACACGCGCACAGAGAGAGAGAAATAGAGCGAAAGGGTGCGTGTGGGTGGTGGGAAAACAAAAAAACAAGCAAAGCCCAGAGTCGATGAAAGAATTCCTTACCTCCTCCACCTCTGCAAGACCGGTGTTAAAACATTTGTGATGGTAGAATAAAGTATCCGAAAGATTTAAACAGAGAGAGAGAGAGCGAGCGAGCCACAGGCACAAGTAAGTCAGGACAAATAGACTGTCTGCCCTCCGTAAGTAGCCTCAGAGAGAGATTTTCTCACGCTCTTTTGCAGAGTGCGGTGTGGTTTAAGGGTTTAAAGGAAAAAAAACACACACGCGCGCACAGAAGGGGAAAGAATCATCAACCACAAACGCCCTCTCACTCTTCCTGTCCCTTCAAAACTCACTGAACCCACAGCTTGACAGGTGAGGCTCGAGTTTGCATCAGGATTTGCATGTTAATCAAATGTCCGAGAGGATTGGAGAAGCCAGACATCAATTTGCCTACAATCAGCCCAAAGTCCTTTTGTCAATGTCAGGTCAATTTCTCTTCTCACCCACCCCAATGCTTCCACCCAATGCTTTATATTGTCCACTAATACCACTCACAGTTGCTATCCACCTCTTTTATATATATATATCTATATATATAACCTCTGTTGACCCAGCAGTCAGTAGGAACCCGGTTGATCTCTTTCCGTGCGGGTAATGATCCCTTCAAAAAATAATAAAGAAAACGGAAATAACAACGATAATAATTTGGTCCGTTCGATCCACGACGGTTTGTGGGACGCCGCTGTGCGCGATTGGCTGCCGCGTTCCGCCCGCAAAATACACAGTCGCTACACTTCACTTCGCAGGATATCCTGCGAAGAGCTTCGAGACGTCTCAACGACGTGATAAGGCACTGTATCAAATGCGAGGATTATTATTATTCATTGTTATGATGAAAAAAAAGGGTCGGTCACTTTGTGGCTGTTTGCGGGGACGTTGCTGTGTGCAAATTGGCTGCCAGGTTCGCCCACAAATGCAAAGTCACTGCACTGCACAGTAAAATCCTGTGAAGCGCTTTGAGACGCCTCAACGTGATAAGCCATTATATCGAATGCAAATATTATTATTAGACATCTACACAACCAGAAAAGATCATTGCAAGCCATTTGGCTGGACCAGAAGTAAAATAAAGTTGGGGGGGGGGGAAGGTTTTGCTAACATCAACATACCTGCTTTCGATCACACCTTGGGACGATGTATTAAGTATCACCAGTCATAATAATAATCCTTGCATTTGATATAGCGCCTTATCACGTCATTCAGACATGTCAAAGTGCTTCACAGAATACACTGTACAGTGAATTGACTGTTTAATTGGTGGGCAAAAAATATCTCGTCAGATTTTTACCCCCTTCATTGCCATTGTAGCTGCAGCGTCCACTTTTACAGCCCCACGTTAAAGGAAATCCTTTACCGAAAGAAAAACATACTGAAACGTCCCACACGTTTTTAACGTTTCTCACAGTTATTGCGTGTAAGAATCAACCAGTGCTTGCTGGTGGAGCCAAAGGAGTCCTCAAGGCACCATTGCTTACTGCTGTGATTGTATGGAATAATTATTCCACACGTCACTTTAGAGTCCTGTATTTTAATTACGATAATAATAATAATCCTTGCATTTGATATAGCGCTTTTCACGTCTTCGAGACGTCTCAAAGCGCTTCACAGAATACACTGTAAAGTGAATTGACTGTGTATTTTGGGGGCGAAACGCGGCAGCCAATTGCGCACAGCAGCGTCCCACAGTGGATTGAACGACCAATTTATTATTGTTTTATTTTCTTGAGGGATTATTATCAGGCGTGTGGAGTAAGGAAACTTACCCAAGGTTTCGCCCTGCCGGGAATCAAACCCGGGTCTCTCGCTTGCAGAGCGAGTGCTCTAACCACTGAGCCACAGGACACCACAATTACTTTGTAATTAATTTAGACCAACTGACAGGAAGGGTAGAATTAAAGCGCTGCTGTGCTAATGTATTTATTTTGGCACTGGGCAAGCATTACTTTGTGATGTTTGCCCAAATCGTTTTTAGTTAAAAAATGATGGGAAGACAGAAATATTTTAATCGTTTTACTGTGCGTTCTTTGTTTCTTGGTGGAGTTTTCATGCCTGAGGTCAGGAAGCATTTTTCCCTACGGAGGGTTGTGAAGATGTGGAACTCTCTCCCAGAAAGCTGTAGAGGTGGAATCAACTGGCATGTTCAAAAGGGAAATGGACAGACACCTGGGTAATAAAAATAATAATAATTCTTGCATTTGATATAGCTCTTGATCGCGTTTTTGAGAGGTCCTTGAAGTGAATTGGCTGTGTATTTTGTTATTGCGTGTACTGGGCTATTTATTGCAAAGGGCAGGGCATTGGAATTCGAAGATTTCTCCCAAGATCTAATAAACTGGCGGAACAGACTTGATGGGCTGAATGGCCTCCTCTTGTTCCTGTTATCGTGGACAACTGCTCCCTCTGCTCAGTGATAAACAGCACAGAAAAGACATTCTCTCAGTAACAATTCAGTCAATCACCATTCTGTTTGTTCGTTTACAAGTCACTCGGTCACTACATTTTACAGCAACACAGTGCGAGATGTTTTGAGACGTCCTCTCTGACTCAAGAGGCATTTTGTCCGATGCAAAGATAATTCTATTATTATTATTAATAGTCAAATTGAAGGACTCACTGCAACAAGACCTGAAAAGCGACAATACACCACACAAGAACAGTACATCTTTAAAGGTTATCATGCATTAAGAAGTTAGACATTCTTTCATTTTGCACATGGAATTTGGTGACAAAGCCACTGACGTTAGGGGGTGACCGAACTCATAATTGGTTTAATAGTTGTCTACTATTGTTTCGCCTGCAAAATATGCAGTCAATTCATTTTACAGTGATAATGCTCTACATCAAAGGCAAGGATTATTATTATTATTATTATGATTACTAGCTACTGCGCTCAGTCCTCAATCTGAGTTACGGAGAAGAAGCTGGAAAGGGAACCTGGGAACGAGAGGTTGATTTTGGTCAGTGTGTAGCTCCCCTCGTGTTTAGTTAAGGAATTGCTCAGAGCATTCTGGTGCACCTGTGAATGCTTACTACGAAAAATCACAATTCAACCAGATTTCTATCACTAGAGGACACAGACTCAAGATAATTGGTAAAAGAACCAGAGGGGAAATGAGCAGAATTTTTTTTTTAATGCAGCGACTTGTTACGATCTGGAATGCACCGCCTAAACGAATATGGAAAGCAGATTCGATAATAACTTTCAAAAGTGAATTGGATCTTTACTTGAAAAGAAAAACAATTGCAAGGCTTTGGGGTAAGAGTGGGGGAATTGGACTAATTGGATAGTCCTTTCAAAGAGCCAGCACGAGCAAAATGGCTTCCATCTGTGCAGAACGATTCGATGATTCTATCCAGATTCTGTAGCTCAGTGGTTAGAGCACTCGCCTCGAGGACCTGGGGTCGATTCCCGGGCAGGGCAAAACCTTGGGCAAGTTTCCTTACTCCACACGCTTCTGTTTACCCAGCAGTAAGTAGGATCCCGGTTGTTAGTCGATTGGCGGATCGCTTTTCCGAGAGTAATAATTCCTTCAAAGAAATAAAAATAATAAGGTCATTTAGCCTACGACTGTTTGTGGCACACCGCTGTGGGCAATTGGTTGCCGTGCTTCGCCCACAAGGCATAGAGTCAATTCACTTGACAGTATGTTCTGTGAAGCGCTTTGAGACTAGAAATGCAAGAATTATTATTATTATAGATCCAGGTGAAACGCAGGAGCACTTTGAAACATCCCGCTGACGTGAAACTTGCTGTGGAAATGTAAATGACATTGTATTTATTGGTATTTTTGTGCAGGAAGCACCGTTCCAAACACTTTACAAAGGAAGTGATGTCAGCGGCGTTTCCGTCGCCTCGCACGCGTGCGCAGTACGCAGGAAGTGCAGTTCAGGGGCACTCGCTGCACACAGCGTGCAACACGCTGTGGGCAATTGGCTCCTGCGTTTCCCCCGCAAAACATACAGTCAATTCACTTTACGGTATATACTGTGAAGCGCTTCGAGACGTCTCGAAGATGTGATAAGGCTCTACATCAAATGCGAGGATTATTATTACTGTTATTATTATTATTATTATTATTATCGTCAAACCACCACAAGTTTGACCCGAATTTTCACCACAATTGTCTGCTGGGTTTTAAATCAACTTTATTTCAGCACTTTCATTAACCATTTCAATTAAATTATACATCATGCAAGTCATTTCATAGAAGATTCGTACATCTTACACCGGGGCAACGATTGTGTAGCGAAATATTTAAATGACAACTTTCTCCCCCCCCACCCCCACCCCCAAAACCTGGTCATAATACCTAGTAAAATACCTCACAGTATTCGTTTTGCTATTCGCTGACCTCGGCGTTCAGTTTTATATCATTAGAACAAAATAACTGTATAGGTTTTTTTTTAATAAATAGGTTTACCTAAAATGAACACGTTTAAAGACTACTGTACACACAGCCAGATAAAGAGAAACACTTCTGCAATACAGAGACACATTTTTACAAAGTACGCACACACTACAGAGTGCCTCACACCCGAACATTTACCAGTCAGAAGATACCCCAAGACACAGATGATGGACATTGAACGAGTATGAAGATTATTTTCACCTCTTGTCAGACATTTGCAGGCACTCAGCATCAATACAGTGTAAGGATTTGTCGTTCCCTCGATATACAGGCGAAACAGTTGATATCAGCTTTTCAGGTCACTCACGATCAGCGATTGGGGGAGAAAAGGGGGAGGAATAGAAAATAAGGACGACATGTCATGTCAATAGATGCAGGAATCATTCGGCTTGGAAAAGTCAGAGACCAAGTCGTAAAGTGAACGGCGGGATTATCTTGGGGTAATAATCCATTCAGAAATAAAATGTGGTCACTCAATGCAAGATTGTTCGTGGGACACAACTGTGCACAATTGGCTGCCGTATTTTGCCCACAAACTATACAGTCGATCTGTTTTGAGACGTCTCGAAGGCGTGATCAATTGACTGATCAAATGCAAAACGACTATTATTATTATCTGCTTCAAATCTCCCGCGGCAACTTGTTGGAAGAGAAGCCACACTCCCTCCCGAAAAAACTAGATCAGCTGACTGTCTGATCAGGATCTAGTTCACAAAGGCCAACTGCAAGACCTGTTGTGGGAAGGTGTCCATCAACCTCGATACGAGAAGGTAATTGGGATCCCGACTTGCATTGACACCCGCTAAGTCAGCAAGGTTATTTGTCAATGCAATGCCATCACCCAAAAGGACTGTTAGGGCAATTGGCAGCAATAAATGGACATCTGTTAATAAGGACATTTGACAAGCGATGATCTTCCAAAAGCCTGGGACATTCATCGAGTGTGGTTACTAGATGGACTGACTGGCTGATCAGCATCTAGCAAAGGGTGAGAGAGAGAGAGAGAGAGAGAGCAAGCAGAGAACTGCAAAGGCCCATACCCCTCTTGCCCCTAGATCAACGTCCTAAGCGTTAAGAAAGACCGTCGGCTTGACGAGCAGTTATCAATGGGCAAACGTAACGTCCGTGGAAAACGGGAGGAGAAAATCACAACATAAAAATGCAACGAGTACATAAAGTGCAATCTTTAGTGAACAGAAACGTAAACAATACCTACTTTTGGAACCGATAGTCTCGGAACATTTGGGCCCACAAAAACCACTGCAGTCTGAAGGCGGCTTCTTTTCGGAACGCATCAGTCCTCGCCCTGTGAACAGTTATGTTGATCGCGCTGCTGCCTCGCAAGAGAGATGGTATGGTCGGTGGGACCACATGTTCCTTAGACACCAGCACAGTCTGTTCCCCCACCCCCCCCACCCCCCCAAAGCTACCTGTGTTCAATAATTGGCATATAGACATAACCCAGCAGTTGACAACGGAGACATCAATTGAAATACCCAGCAGTCAACGCACGCAAATTCACACAAACCTGCTTCTTTTTTTGGGGACTCGGAGAGAATACAAAGTCCTACTCATTGCCTCCAAATGGCGGTGGGCAGCTGACATTTTGACAGACTCAAGTTCCTTTTGAAGGCCTGGTATGGAGAGTATGGCCTGGTATGTTGCATGACAGACTCCCATCTGTTTCCAGTGTTCCTTGCACAATGTATCAGTCCTAAACGGTGAGTTCGAAAAAGGCCACGTTTTCCTCTGACCCAAATGGCGTGATTTGCACTCCAGGTTACGTCCTTTAGACCTTCAGCTTTTCAATCCAGTCGCTCTCATCCCAATGATCCCAAGTGAAGTGTGAAATCCAAACACATTTTGTTTAGCGTAGTTAAGTCAGGGTTTGTAGTTTTCTGTCTTAAAAGGCATCTTACTCTTGCTGTCCAAATTGTGGATTCCGTTGATCTACATTGACCAGGCTTTAGAAAAAAAAATCTACCAGCACAAATTTGACCTCTTCTTTTTTTTTTTCCTTTTGTCGCTCCCCTAAATTTATAGTTAGCAGCAATGTAAACCCGCCCACCCGCCCGCACCCAAAATATAAAATAAAAAAACAAGAAACGATTTATTATCATACAGGAAATCAAACAAGACACAAGACAAGGTAACATTCTTCCTAAGACACTGTGATATATTGAAATAACTTTAGCTTTTTAGCACAGTCTTGCAAAAAAAAGGCCGAGGGTTAATTCTCTCTCTCTCGCGCTCTCACGCTCATACACAAACACACACACATAGACACCCACACACACACACACACACGTACATTTAATGATTCATGAGGCTAGGTGAAGTAGGATGAATACAGGTCTATACATATTTAGCTTGTGAAGGTTTGATCCCATGGAAAGCCGATGCACTATGACTACAGTTCCGAAGAATGCATATGGTTAAAACGCAGGTCTCTCTTGTAAGGTTGGCGTGTTGGTCTTAGGCCATTAATGCATGCTGGGCCCGAAATCACAACCTGGAAAGAACAAAGAGGTCATCATTAGACTGCACGTACATGCACACACACACACACACCCTGCTTTATGATAATAACAATCATAACAGTCCTTGCATTTGACGTAACGCCTGTCACGTCAGTGGTCGGCGCACAGGGCTGCGCGGGATGTACTGCGCAGCGATTGTAGGCAAACCCGGCAGCCAATTTGCACTCAGCGATGTCCCACCGTCAGTCGTCAAGTGAATGATCAATTTGATCCGGGGAATTGCCGGCCCAGGACACCGGGAGAAATTTCCTTTCCTTTTCAGATGGTGCCACGGGATCTCTAACGTCAACCCAAAACAGGCGGGCGGGATGCTTGGTTTAACATCTCATCCGAAGGATGACACCTCCAACAATCCAGGCCTCCCCCAGCCCCACACTGGAGTGTCAGCCTAAATGATGAGTTCAAAGGCCCACCTTGGGGGCTTGAATCTACTACCTTGTGACTCGGAAGTGAAAGTGTTAGCAACTGAGCTAAGGTGACACACATCCTACAGAAGGCTGGCCAGGATATTTTTTGACCTAAGAACAATCACACGGACTTGAAAGACCAAACGCTGTGAAGTCTTTCTGTTGTCTACCTGGTCATCCTGAATGTCAAGGCTCTGTTTAAAGAACTGTATCTCAGCAATGTGGCAAAGGACTTGTTTAAACTCAGCATTCAGTTTTCTAAATGGGAAGGAAAGAACTTGTATTTTATAGCATCTTATCGTATCAAAATAAGGTTTCGCCCTGACCGGGAATCGAACCCCGGGTCCTCTCGCTTGCGAGGCGAGCGTTTAAAACCAATACGCTTACAGGACTCCACTCCACATAAGGCAGAAAAGGGTAGAAAGGTAGGAAGAGGTGTCATTCCATTCCAATACGCAGAACGTGACTTCCTTCCAGAGCGGACAGAGCCAACGTACAGACATCAAGACCTATCCTAACACTAAGCAAACCAGGAGAAGTGCTGCCCTCATGATAAAGGGCTTTCGGACTTCAGCCTTCTATTTGTTCCGACACATTAGCAGCTCGCTGAGACATTTAAAACGACACCAATCCCAGTCGCACCTGGGTCAAGAAGGAGGGTTGCTCAGCAACTGGCCTAGCAACATCTGCTGGCTTGAATATGGAGCAGGGGAGGGGGAAAAAAAGGCCAGCTTTTCATATTCAAATTGATTGAATAATTCGCCCCCCGCCCCAAGGTTACTCTGCTGCCAAGACGCAAGTCATTGCACTTTATTCAGCGACACGATGTCCTTTATTCACTCTGCTTCATAATTTCTTTCAGCTAAATCTCCAATCCCAGGATTTGGTCTCTCACGGCTTGTTACAGACCCTGATGCTTGTTGTTTCAGCACTGATCTCTGCCTTTCCATATAAAGGACTATTCCAACCCCCGCACCCAGCCCCCCCACCCCCACTCTAGCCCAGGGGTTCCCAGGCCAAACGTAACCAATACCAGTACACCAGTGGTGCCAGCCTGGCTCAGTCAATAGCGCTCTCACCTCTGAGTCAGAAGGTTGTGGGTTCAAGCCCCACGTCGGGACATTGAACTCACGTAGTCCAGGCTGACCTAGACCGGCAATATAATGATCGGGGTGTGTTGCATTATCGGAGATACCGTCCTTCCGATGAGACGTTAAACTGAGGTCCTGTCTGTTTAGGTGGATAATAATAATAATAATAATAATAATAATCCTTACATTTGATATAGCGCTTTTCACGTCGGGAGGACGTCCCAAAGCGCTTCACAGAACACACTGTAAAGTGAATTGACTGTATATTTGTGGGCGAACGCGGCAGCAATGTCCCACAAACAGTCGTAGATTGAAAATGACCAATTTATTATTGTTTTTGGTTTTGGAGGGATTATTATTAGGCTCTGTGTGGAGTAAGGAAACTTGCCCAAGTTTTCGCCCTCTGCCTGGGATTGAACTCAGGTCTCTCACTTGCAAAGCGAGTGCTCTAACCGCTGAGCTACAGCACTCCACAATGAGATGTCAAAAATCTCACGGCGCTATCCAAAAAGCGTATCTGGTCACCTTCCTCCCCCTCCCCCTGGCTCGGCCCCGGGGTCCGTTACTGCAAAGCGCTCTGAGACGCCTTTCCGGCGTGGAGGGCGCTATATGAATCCAAGTTGTTGTTGTTGTATTCTGTGAAGCGCTTTGAGACGTCTCAAAGAAGTGATAAGGCGCTATATCAAATGCAAGTATTATTATTACTATTACTATTGACTTAGTCCTAAAAAAGGCACTAACTTAGATTCTCGTTCCATTCGCTTTCTTAAACAGGCATCTATCGCCACCTTATGGCTATTCAGAGCCATCACCTTTCTATTCCCTCCTGTTCCGTTTCAGACCACAGGGTTTGCGTTAATTGGCAAATATCCGTACAAGAGATTGCAAATAACGTTCGAACTTCAGGGCATTTTGCTTTGAACAGCAACAAAAAAATTGAAAGCGCTACCAATCAGTGGCTAAACATCGAGAGTCCCAAGGGAAGAGCCCATCAGTGATCAGGCAAAGCCGACACTGGCTCCAAGGAAAGTGCTTCTCTTTGCTAATGTATCATCTGTCAGCCGTCCGCTGTCCATTACTCAGAATGCATTTACACAGGACTTAATTCAAAAGCCCTGAATTAGCATTCGCTACAGCAACCTTAGCTAACCTTGACAGGCGGCACATTCAGACTTGTCTGTCCCGCAGAGCGAAGTCAGGATCCAAGATCCTTTTTGCGTTTAAAAAGGGGCTGAGATCCACATTGACGTAAATGATTAAAAATGATTAAAGCTGTCAACCGAGGGAATGCACTGACCACACCCCGCGCCACTGCAGAAACGTGTTTTTTGTTAACGGCAGAATTAATCTCGGTTTGTACAACAACAACTAGCGCCCACAGAATATACAGTCAATTCATTCTACGGTGTATTCTGTGAAGTGCTTTAAGATGTCTCGACGACATGGTAAGGCTCTAGATCAAATGTAAGGATTATTATTATATTAGTCGCATTTATACAGTGCTCTTCGTGCCTACAGGAAAGGGTCCCAGTATAAAAAGAGAAATAAAAAGAGAAATAAAAAGAGATGAGCTTTATCTTGTTTGTTTTTTTGCTTGAGAGGTTGGAGGGACGGAGGGACGGACGGAGAGACGGGCAAAGAGGTCGAGTGTTCCAGTCCAAGTAACGCCGATACCATAAGTATGGTCTGAAATATTATTCTAAATCCACATTCTCTGCAAAAAAAAAAGTTGAAGCAAAATAGGTCTAACATTAAGATATTAAATCGTTGCGTAGTTTCGATGAAACTGAACTTCATACTGGAAGGTTAATACAGATGGGATAGGTCTCTTGTTGCAAGATGAGCTTAGCTCAGTTGGTAAAACTTTTGCCTCTGGGTTCGAGATCCACATTGGGACTGAAGTTCCCAAACTAGGCTGACATTCCCATACAATATTAGGGAACGAGGCATTGACACAGGTGCCATCTTTCAGGCATTCAGTTGGAGTGCTGTAGCAAAGCCTCGTAAGCGAGAGGTCCTGGGGTTTGTATCCCAGTCAGGGCGAAAGATTAACAACATGCCTCTATTTACCTAGCACTAAGTATAACAACAACAAGTAGGAACCCGGTTGTTAATCGATTGGTGGATCGCTTTCCGGGGGTAATAATCGCTCAAAAAAATAATGATTTGATCACCGTTTGTGGGACACTGCTGTGCGCTATTGGTTGTCGCATTTCACCCACAAAATATACAATCAATTCACTTTACAGTATATTCTGTGAAGCGCTTTGAGACGTCCTCCCGACGTGAAAGGCGCTGTATCAAATGTAATCTGGTGGTGGTGGTGTCTCAAAGACATGATAACACGCTGCATCAAATGCAAGAATTATCTTTATTCATTTTATGGCTGTTGCAGGATCTTTGCTGATTCAAATCTTGCCACGAAGCCTACAAGAACAGTCACTTGTGACGAGCTTGATACACTTTGGGCTGATAAGGCAGGCGCTGTGTAAAATGCAAGTTCTTTCTTCTTAAAATAGATGAAGTGTCTTGAATTTTTCACACGCTATTAAATAATGTGCAGCAATTGCAATGTGCCCAGTTACTTTGGCTTGCCTCCCAATGCCATACCCATCATGAATGTGCCTATCGTAACTTGCAATTTAGAAGCAAAACAGATCGAATTGCGGAGGGTTTTAAAGCATTTCACAGCCCCAACGTAAGCTCGAAGCAACATCCGCTCTCGGTCAGGATTTCCCGCTCGGTGTTGCTACAGCTTTTAAAACTGCGAGCAAAGTCAGGGTACGGCATGACACAGCAAGGACTTCAACTCAATCGCATTACGAATCTTCCACCGAGAACAACATAGTTTTACGCAAGAAGCAATTTCATTACCAACAGCTCAGCACTGGAGTGGAGTTCTGTAATGCATCCAAAACACACACAATCCTTTCCAGCATTCTGCGTCAGAATCCCTGCCTCCTGCATTAATTAAGGAGCTGGATTCAAACAAATGCTCCTGCCAAATGTTAAAAGCAAGCTCACATCATCCATAGCTTATGGGACATTATTGATTAGATAAGTCTACAGGCTTGCAAAGCACCTTGTCCATCAGGGAAGATTTTTTTTGGTTGTGTTGTGTTTTGAGAATAAAAGAGTGATTTCTACATTTGAGTTGTGAGAACACGGATCTTCACTGAAGGTCTAATACCAACCGAATGCCTTAAGGATGGTTAATGGGATAGGTTTTCTTACTGGATTCAATAGTACTGCAGAGTACCTTTGCTTGAGATACATCATGAGTGAGCAGCAAATGTGAATTGCTCAGTTTTGATCAGTCTTTGTTCTACTTACTACTTCTCCTTGTTGTGATAGTAACTAGGGTTCAAAGTCACAGAAATGCCACCACCACGAAGCGTATGAATGGTCGTTGGAGAGGAAGCTGGATAGTGACCGGGACGAATAGGTTTGGCTGGAATGCAACAAGATAGAGAGAAATTAATTCACAACCCAATACCAGGCGCGTGCACTGTAGTCTGATATACATTTGCAATTTACATTTACGCAGCACTTTCCATGTCAGAAGGATGTTTCACAGTGCTTCTATGCTTCACCCGGATCTTTACAGAATCATAGAATCTTACAGAACAGAAGCTTTGAAAGAGCTATATAACTAGTCCCACTCCATCGTTCCTTCCCCGTAGCCTTGCAATATATCCAATTCCCTTTTGAAAGTGATTACTGAATCGAAGTTTTATTGAATTGAAGATTTGCTCTATTTACGTAGCATCCAGAATTTGTCCAATTCCTGAATTAAAGTCTTCATTTAGAAGCTGGTGGGTTTTTTTTGAAAGTTTATCTTAAAGCGCTACAGAAAACCAACATGAAGGATACAATTTGCCAAATTCTGGATGCTCTGAAACAGAGTAAATCCACTACCAGGTGGAATTTCTCCCTGTGAGCTATTTAATAAACAACGACAACAAATTACATTTGAATAGCGCCTTCCGCGTAAGGTGCTGGACAGTCAAAGGTTGGAGCCGAGCAGGGGGTCGGGATCAGGAGGGGTGGAGGGCAGGGAGGGTGGGAGTAGGAGGATGAACGAAGGAGCGGTCGATGAGATCGGTTGTGAGACGGGCCTTGAAGTATTAATATAATACTCTTCATTTTATATGAATATTTATATGGAGTATCAATACACTCTCTTTCTATTGCAAATAATCTTGTTTGAGGAACAAGTCCAAGGGAGGCCCAGATACCCTATCACTATGCCTAGTAATTGCTTCGCTTTGGCAGTATTGCAGTTGCTATATTTCTAAACAAAAATAAGGCATAGTAATAGTTTCTGACAAAGTCACTGCCCCGAGTGAAACTTGAGATACACAGCCCTGGGAGGTTCCTAGATCAACCTGCGGTCTGTACTGTTAGCTGGTCTCAGCTGTAGCACTTAATTTCAGTTCTGAAGATCACAAGAGAGGTTTGGATGAAAGAGACCCTAAGGCTCATCTGATCTCACCCTTCCAGAACACCCACCCTACCCATTAAAGCATCCAGCTGTTTCATAAATGAGTCCAACAGCCTTGACCTCAACCACCCTTCCTGGTAACCCTGTTCCCATCATTAATCGCTCGTGTAAACCAATGCTTCTTACAACCCTGAACCTGTGCCCTTATTGTTCTCCTGTCCAGGAGTATCTCAGGGTATTGTTCTGGGATTACTTTTTTGGGGATAACAACTAAATGGAATTTCAGTGGGCAGATGATTCACCCGAAACTCTGGCTCTTAAAACGCAACTGTTATTATTTTTATTTATTTTACGCAGTTTGTTCAGGAGGCAAGAAGGAGGATTTCTTCACTAAACCTCATTTTGCCAGGAATCTTCTTACAGCCTCCATCAGAGTGGTGGCTCAGAACAAGCCATCGCTCTATTCCAGGCTCTCATTGATTTCATTTTTCTTCAGACCAAATCACCTGATGGCCTTACGAACCAAGACACAGTTAAGAGCACCGAGACCATCTGTTTAACATCATAGTGACCCACCCTTTCAGGCTTTCACCCTTTCACCCATCAGAGTAAACCATGGGTATCAAATAATTATCTGTTACGATCTGGAATGCATTGCCTGAAAGCGTGTTGGAAGCTGATTCAATAATAACTTTCAAAGGGGAAAATTGGATATATACATGAAAAGGAAAAAATTACAAGGCTCTGGGCAAAGAGTGGGGCAGTGGAACTAATTGGATAGCTCTTTCAAAGAGCTCGATGGGCTGAATGGCCTCCTTCTGTGCTGTAAGATTCTATGATCCTAAACTTCCGTATAATTACTAAACCCTCCAAACCGAAGCAAGCAGAAAACTCGATTGTACAGAGACAGCCCAAACAACATCAAACGAAAGCAGCGGCGCCCTCACCAATCTGAGCGGAATGTGCCCTTCTGGCCATGTTTTTGGCTCGCACCGCCTCTTTGATTCGGTCGACCTCCTGTTGGTATCGCTTGCGATCCCTCATGGCGTTCTCCTTGGCTTCTTTCAGTGCACTCTCCAGTGCCTTGACTCTCTCAGCCGTAGCCCGAAGTCGTTTCTCCAGCTTAGGAAGCTCACAGCGAAGATCTGCATTGTCACGTACCAGCTGAAAGAGCAACGGGGAGGTTTAGTCACTCACTCACTCACTCCGCGGCTGTTTGTGGGACGTCGCTGTGCGCCAAATGGCTGCCGCATTTCGCCCACAAAGTACAAGGTCAGCATAACAATAATAATCATAACAATTTTACGGCATAACAATAATAATCTCTGCATTTGACAGAGCGCCTCATCGCGTCTTCGAGACATCTCAAAGCGCTACACAGGATATACGGTAAAGTGAATTGACTTTATGTCTTGCGGGGCGAAACGCGGCAGCCAGTTGCGCACAGCAGTCGCCCACAAAACATTGAGTGACCAAGTTGTTATTTTTGTTCCTGTTGTGGTGGTTGTTGTTCAAGGGATCATTCCCCCCCCACCCTCCCCTCCCCCAGGAAAGCAAACCGCCAATTGGCCAGCCCCAATTTCAGTACGGATAACAGATACTGTAACCGTAATTTGGGAGAAGGACTGAACTACTATTTGCTTTTTGATCACGCACAATATACGGGACCACCTGTGGTTTCCATACCTGCTTGTGAACTTTTGTAAGCTGCTCCAAGTTGTTCTCAAGAAAGGAAATTTTCTGCTTCTGCGCAGCACTCCCACCACCATCATCGGAATCCAATTCAGCGCTCTGAGGAAAGACACGGCCGGGAACACAAAGTTATCTCAGGAAATACGCGATGACGTTAACACCTTCTGCGAGAGCGTCTGACACAGAGCACAGGGTGTAGTTGGAAGTTCCAGTCACTTACTTTCTTGACCCTTGTGGTGAGGTCTTGGACAAAAAGTTTTCGGAGGTTGTGGAGGGTTTGAAGTTCTTTCGCCTTTTGTTTTCGGGGGACAAGATCAGAGAAACAGTAACGTCAGAAGGAGGACTGATCTCAGCATGTTAGCTCAATCATAAGAGGCAGCGTTTCACACAAGAGCAGCTGGGATGGGTTTCAGGTGCAGATTTTTGTAAAAGGGGTTGGTTGACTTAAAAGAAAAGGACCCAATTGGTAGCAACCCATTGCTGTTCAGAGCACAATCCATTTCTGAACAAATCTTTCCATTCATCGCTTAGTTTCTATCCTAAAACAAGGTACCAGAGCCCCCAAATTCTATCTTGTCAACCCTGCGAGACTATTAAGTCTTTACAAAGTTAACGTTGCTCAGAACTGCGGAGAATTCTTCAATTCAGTCATGATATGAGTTGAAGCCGGCTTCTGAGCGAATGTTGAGAAACAAAATTGAGAAACCGAACTCAAGTGTTTTTTTGACAATTCAACATGATCTTAAGAACATAAGAACATAAGAATTAGGAGCAGGAGTAGGCCATTTGGCCCCTTGAGCCTGTGCCCCTCCATTCGATAAGATCATGGCTGATCTTCAGACCTAACTCTAATGACCCGCCCTCTCCCCATAGCCCCTAATCCCTCTATTTTTAAAAATCTATCAGTCTCAGCCTTGAAGATGTTCAAGGACTGAGCATCTACAGCCTTCTGGGGGAGTGAATTCCATAAATTCACTACCCTCTGAGTGAAGAAATGTTTCCTTAACTCTGTTCTAAAAGGCTGACCCTTAATAATAAGACTGTGACCCCTGGTTATAGATTCTCCTACCAGGGGAAACAGACCCTGAGTGTCTACTTTATCAGCCCTTTAAGAATCTTATATGTTTGAATAAGATCTCCCCTAATTCTTCTGTACTCTAGAGAATACAGCCCGAGTTTATTCAGCCTATCCTCATAGCTCAGTCCCCTCATCCCAGGAACTAACTGAGTGAATCTACGCTGCACCCCCTCTAGGGCAAGAATGTCCTTTTTAAATAACATTTATAAAAATAAATCTTAAATTTTAACCTGACCTTAAATGTTAACGTCTTGAAAGATTTAAGATCATAATTCTATTTGGTCTTAACTTTGAAATTGTAATTCTTGCCGGACCAGAATCTCTAGTGATCTTGAGTTTTTGTTTCTGTGTTAAATTCTGTGTTACAATGATGAAGACAGTGCATCGGTCTTCTGCCCGTTCAAGTGTAATCAGCTTCATGCTGAAACTTACAACTGTCTCCTCCAGCCCTTTGAGGTCCTGTTTGGCTTGCTCTCTTTTATCATTGAGGAGTCTAAAATTGCAGAGAAATAAAAAAAAAAGTACTTGGAGTAATTTTATTACAAGCTGATACGCTAAACCCCCATAAGTCTGATCTGTATAAATCGTACAATGGCCTAAGTCGTACATCCACCCAAGTGTCATTCATGTTCTATGCTAGTTTGACATAACTCATACTTTGCATAAGTCATATTAAATGTATGGGCCCAAATGGTACAACTTATGTGATGTTTACTGTATAAATGAAACAAGCATTTCCCCCTTCATAAAGAGAGGACAGTAGATTACATTGGAAATTCTTTGCACCAACATGATCTGAATGTAATTAGAAATGTAGAAATAATTATAGCACTGTTATAATACTGCAGTTATAATTGTAATAATAAACCACTTGCCCAAAGCAGAACTCGGATATAAATGGATAATTCCATTACCTGGCGGAAGCCAAACTCCACATTATCTTAAAGTGATGTATTACCATAATATCATCAGGATTGTACTGAAGGACAAATTCAGTGATGTGCAACCACTCCACAATAAAAAGAAATCCTCATGTAAGAATGGGCTATCGACAAGCAAAGAGGCTATCCTTTGTACAGTGGATTAAGAACCTTTTACTATCTCCCTCCTCGAGCTGTCTGATTGTGGGAATGTTGATGTAGATGGCTTGCTGTGCCTCCCAACGCTGTGTTAAATACAAACTTGGTATTTGTTTATTTATTCCCAGACCATTATCTGGGAAGCATGTAGAACACAGGAAGTGAAGACCTGTGACAACCTCTTGACCCAGAAGTTGTCCATGATTTATAGTTAGCTCTAAATGCGAAATAAAAACCTGGGACAAATAGAACGATGTTTATCGACGAGTATTACCTTTCCTCAATTCGGAGAAAATTGAAAAACCCAACAACTATTGATTTTCAATCACCTCCCCTCTGGATCTGTTGACGATTATCCTGAATCGATGTCCTCCGTTTACCAACCCACCCACCTCCAGTTTAGTGTGTGTCTACACCTTTGGGCTATCGGCTTTTTGCTATTTGGTTTCCACAAAAAATGTCTTGAAAATGAGAGTCGTTAAGTGACGTACGACCTCCAAGGTTGATTCAGATCAATACGTTCTGCAGGACACAGTGCAACACTTACACAAGTTTCTGAAGTTCCATACTTTTTTCACATTCGTCCATTTTCAGCTTCTCAAAATCAGAGTTCAGTTTTTCCTGCTCGAGCACCAGTTTCTGATTCAAACTGAAACACAACAAAGCTGTGTGTTAGCTCTGGTACTGAACAGCGAGCACAAAAGCTTATTGATAATAATCAATAATAATGATAATAATACTTCATTTGATACGACACCTTATCACGTCTTCAAGAGGTCTCAAAGCACTTCGCAGAATATACTCTAAAATGAATTGACTGTATGTTTTGTGCACAGCCAATTGTGCACAGCAGCGTCCCCACAAACAGTCGTGGATGGAGTGACCCTTTTTTTTAAAAAAAGGGATTATTGTATAATCCCTGACTGTCCAGCGCCTTGGGACGTCCTCCCGTTGTGAAAGGCACTATACAACAGTAATTTGTATTCTAGTCCCAATCTGCCAATCAATTGACATCTAAATTCCTAATTAGCACCTTATCACGTCGTTGAGGTGTCTCAATGCGCTTCACAGATTATATATTTTGTGGGTGAAACACGGCAACGATTACACACAGCAGTGTCCCCCAAACAAATCGTGGATTGAGTGGCCAAGTGTTTTGGGGGGAGGGATAATTACCACCGAAAGCGATCCACCAATTGACTAACAACCGGGGTTCCTACTTACTGCGCTGTAAACAGAGGCGTGTGGCGTAAGGACACTGGCCCAAGGTTTCGCCCCGATGGGAATCCAACCCAGGTCTCTCGCTTGCGAGGCGAGTGCTCTAACCACTGAGCTACACGACTCCATGATGCAAAGGGCAAAAATCTCTGGTTTAAATGGGGTTTAAATCGTGCAAGCGAGTGCTTGATAAGGCAGGGATCCGCAGGTCAACAGAATTCTCTAACTTGCCCCTATGTCATCGTGGGGACAATTTAGTACCTTCACGTTTCCTTTAATGGCAAATTGCAATTCAGAACTTTCATCGGATACTTACTCCCTAAATTCATCGACGATTTTCTGTTTTTCTTCGATCTCGTCCCTGAGGCGAGCGAGTTGTTTCTGATGGGCCTCTCTGTGGTTCTCCATTTGTTCTTCCAGGGTTTTCTGGAGAAAAGATGCAAATCCCCCGAATGTCAGTCAGGTTTCTGACAAACTGCGGAAACCCATCACTGGGTGTAAGAGTATTGAAAGCAGACTGAGAGTGTTTCACATGTAAATGGGACCTATGCGTGAGAATTTCCTCACATCTGGTAGTGGAATACATCCTCTCCCCCCCAGAGGGGGACACCCGCTTACCTAATTCTGGTGAGTATTAGGCGCAGGTTGGCAACAGCCAAGGCTTTGGGGGGGCCTCTGAGTGTTGGGGATTTGCTGGAGCTTAAGGGACTAAATTTTTAATCATAATTAATTATAATTGCAGGGTTTGGGGGGGGGGGTGGTGTCGGGGAATGTGACCGTAAGCATAGTCGAAAAGTAAGGTCTTCAGTCGTGATCTAAAACAGGGGAAGGAAGGGGCAAGGCAGAGGGATTGGGGGAGAAAGTTTCGGGGCGTAGATGGGTGAAAGCGCGGCCTCTGTTGGTGGAGCGGAGGGGGCAAGGGACAAGCAGGAGGTCAGAGCCAGTCGAGCGGAGGCAGCGGGTAGTGGACGAAACCTTGTGGGTAGATTCCCTGCTCCCTATCAGGAGAGCATTGATCGAGAGCATTGATCGAAAGCTCACTTCTGCTGTATTTTACCTTCATTTCGTTCGCATCCTGAAGCAGGCTCTGATGTTCCTTCTCTTTATCCTGGAAGGAGACTTCTTGCATCTTTTCTGATGGAAAAAGAAATAAAAACACACTTAGCTTTTTTTTAAACAAACGACGCGATCCGTCATTTTCAAGCCAAAGGCAGAACAGGTGAGAATTTAGACCCAAAATAGGGATAACCGCGTTTAGTCCACACACGACAGAGCCCCTGGCTGTTCTCTCAGACAGTTTTGAGTTACCGCAGCGATATCAACAACCACAAGTTACATTTACACGGCGCCATTGACATCGGGAGGACGTCCCAAGGCGCTGGACAGTCAGGGGTGTGGACCCGAGCTGGGGGTTGAGATCGGGAGGGGTGGAGGGTAGGGAGGGTGACCGATGGTGCGGTCGAAGAAAGAGGGTCTTGAGACGTGCTTTGAAGGAGGCAAAGGAGGGAGCGAGGTGAAGGGACTGTGGGATGGAGTTCCAAAGGGTGGGGGCAGAGAGGCTGCAGGTCTGAACGCCGACGGTGGGAAGGGCCACGAGGAGGCCGTGGAACAGGTCGGAGCCTGTGGAAGTATCACACGCTATTCGGGAAAACTTGCAGCACTCTGAATAAATCATCCCAGCTTCCAGGCAGCGTGTACCTTGGGCATGGAGTTTAGCTAACTCCTCGTTGAGCGAATCATGAGATTCCTCGAGCTGTCTTCTCTTCTGCTCCATGTTCTGCGTGTAATCCGTCAGGGACTTGATCTTGGCTTCGTGCTTTCGAGAGTAACAGCAAACAAACGGACGTTAACAAACTGCATTACTCGCCACCGCTGACGGCTAAAGTTACCAGGGACACGGCTTACGTGAGATCTTAAGACAGATCTGACTTCCAGAGCTTAACTTTTCTTGCACTTGAGATTTAGAAGTGAGGAATTCCTCTTGTTTATTAAATATAGATACATTGACATCTTTCCCCTGGATCACGCGGCATTAGAGTTATCACGAGTGGAGTGCTGCGGAGTAATGGTTAGAGAGCTCGCCTCGCAAGCGAGAGGACTCGGATCCAATTCCCGGGCAGGACAAAACCTTAGGCAACTTTCCTCACTCCGTGCACCACTGTTTACCCAAGTAGGTTGTTAGTCGATTGGCGATCGCTTTGCGGGGATAATCATCCCTCCCCAAAAATAAATAAATAAATAATTTGATCACTCAATCCACGTCTGTTTGTGGGACGCTGCCGTGCGCAATTGGCTGCCGCATTTCGCCCACAAAATATACAGTCCAATTCACTTTACAGTACATTCTGCGCAGCGCTTTGAGACGTGATAAGGCGCTATATCAAATGCAAGGATTATTATTATTATTATTATTATTATTATTATTTTTATCAAAAGGCCTTCAAGACCACCTCAGAGTAAATCAAAGGCACTCAGCAAACAAAGGGAAATTGTTCTAAAACCTGTCACATGCTACACTTTTTCTAAGAGCTTCTGCGCGTCATTTTTTTTTTCCATGGCAAATATGATTCTTTTTTTTTTAAATCAAGCCATCTGTTCGCGACGTCAATCCTTCCTTGTGAGAATTTTCACGAGGAAAGCGTTACGAAAGGGCTTAAAGCAACACCTCGAAACACCAGCCCGCTGTTCGCTCCGTCAGTCTAACTCCGCAAGATAAGTAATTCTTCATTCGTTCCGATTGTCCGTCTGCGAAACTACTTTTTAAAAAAAAAGCAAACGCCTGCACCGTTTTGTCTGAAAACGCTCGCATTCTCAGTGAACGAGACTGCGCTTTGCAGTAATCACCAGCTGAACCCAAGAATCTAGTTTGCCCGGTAGCGCAGTGCAGGTCAATGCAAGATCGCTCAACATTTTATAACGGTTAAAAAAAAGAGTTACAGGGCTTCATATCCGAGCTGAAAGGTAGAACCTTTTTTTATTTTTTCCTTGCATTTGATATAGCGCCTTTCACGTCTTCTAGACGTCCCAAAGCGCTTCACAGAATATACTGTAAAGTGAATTGACTGTATATTTGTGGGCGAACGCGGCAGCCAATTGTGCACAGCAGTGTGTCCCGCAAACAGTCATGGATTGAAAATGACCAATTTATTATTCTGCGTTGAGGTTGTTAAATAATCCTTACGTTTGTCAAAGAACGTCAGGGGGGTGTCTCAAAGCCCTTCGCGGGATTTACTGTAAAGCGTGGTGACTGTTCACTTTGTAGGCGAATATGCCACAAACAGCCGTCAGGTGAATGACCGATTTTATGCGTCCTCCTTAGTGACAAAGGAATTCAGGGAACGAGCCGAAAGTGCCCTGGAAGCTACGCAATCGATACCGTGGCACACAGCCAACCGGACACCATTCAGCCTCGTAACAGAAAAGTGTACGCGTATCAGTAATTTGTTCGCCCGCACGCGCACAGCACAGGAGAATGCGCGACACCTCGGCAGGGGAGGAGACTTTAGTACCAGGAGAAGTGCCTGCAATTGTGTGTGTGTGTGTGTGTGTGCGTGTGCGTGTACGTGTGTGTGTGTGGTAAAAGCTCATAGTCAAACAGCGGGGGTGAGCAGAGAGCTGGGGAGGAGAAGATAACAGAGAATTAGAACGAGAAGCCGGACATTCTTCCCGCTCAACCAAGGATTCCCCCACCCCCTCCCGCTTACCTGAGACACCAGCAGGTGGCAGGAAGCCAGTTCCCTTTCGTTCTCGTTCATCTTCTTGTTGCAGTCCAGCTGTGTGCCCTCCAGCTGTTTGGATCTCTTCACCAAGGTCTTCACCTCCGACTTCATCTTGCTGACGAACAGGCGCGCAACCGTGAACTCTTCCTCTATCATTCCGTTCACTTCAGTCATCTGGGAGGTGGGGCGGGGGGGGGGGATGTGGGGGGGGGGGGGCGTGGAGAAGGGCGAGAGAAGGGGGAGGGTGGGGGTTAAATTCTGTCAATGCCAACGCATAAAACTGTAGCGGTCTTTCAGCTGCTGTCATCGCCCCAGTCATAACAGGTTCCTGGGCTTGAGCAAAGGCGAGGGAGAGGGGGTATTTTATTAATAACAACAATTATTATTATTATTACGTCTACGTGTGTTAATAAAAGTGCTCTGGGCACTACCCCGCGTGAAGGGCGCTATATAAATGGAATCTTGTTGTTGTTGTTGTTATATAAATGCAAGCTGTTGTTGTGTGTGCCTTTCGATTGTCGCCCAACACAATACCACTGTGATGCTAATAATGATAATAATCCTTGCATTAGATAAAAAATACACGGATTATTATTATTATAATTATGCAGCGCGCCTTATCACGTCTTCGAAACGTCTCAGAGCCCTTCGCAGAATATGCCGTAAGTGAATTGACTGTGTATTTTGTGGGCGCAAAGTATAGTGGTCGACTAATCCGTACGGAATTAATTGCTATCAACATCGCCTTTAGTGCAGCGCGCGACCACCAGGTGGTAGAAGGCCAAATAGACGGGCTGCGGCCTTTTTTCATCCGGCAATTCCTATGCTGCTGCTATGTTCAATAACGTGAAGGTGGGGGGGTGGGGGGTGGGGGGAGAGGGGCTACTGAATATAACCAATGGAGGGCGCTACAGGCTGCATTTTGACACTGGAGAACACCCAAATCGTGATGGTCAATGACTCGATTGCTTCCTCACTGCATCACTGCATCACCTTTCTCTTTGACCGAGCCTTCAACTCCCCTCTCGACTCTCTTCCCCCTCCTCGCTCCCTCCCTTCCCTCCCCTCACCCTGACCATTTCCCCCCTCCTCGCTCCCTCCCTTCCCTCCCCTCACCCTGACCATTTCCCCCCCTGCTCGGGTCATGACCCAACTGTGCAGCGCCTTGGGACGTCCTCCTGACGTGAAAGGCGCTTTATAAATGGAATCTTGTTGTTGTTGTTGTTGAGAAACCAATGTGCCAAGCTCAATGCTCATTTTAGTGCGCCTTTAACTGGCCGTTAGCCCTGTTGTAGGTCCAAATCCCTGATTGTCCAGCGCCTTGGGACGTCCTCCCGACGTGAAGCCCCAATGCAAATCTAATTTGTTGTTGCAGGGTTTTGTTCTTGGGGTTGCCTGAAAACAAGGTGACGTGGGAGGAAAAAAAAGATCATAACACTACCTAGGATTCTTATCGTTGCAATATATTATTATTACTACCACAGCACGGAAGTCTGTGACCGGCCTGTGCCAGTGTCTGCACTTCACCAACCCTATTCCCTTCTGCTATACCGTCCTCTATTCCCTTCTGCTTCATGTATGTGAAAAGCTTCCTCGTAAATACATTGATGCTTTCTGCTTCAACCACAGCTTCAGGCTGTAGGTACATATTTTCTTTTAACAATTATATAAATAGACAGTCATAATAGCATCTAATTGTGCACTCACTCCGTTTGTGAGCAAAGCATCGTAACTCAACCTCTCTCCCTCAGAGTCGAAACTATATCTATCCATTTGCGTGTGAGCCAGGTCCTGACAAAACAAAAAATTCTACTGAACGTACGTTTGATCAGATAAAGGCTGCCGTCCTGTGATTTCAAGGGTACAAGATGCTGCCGTTTAATTTCCCCCGTGCTGTGATGTGCAAAGGTTAGATACACCATTGATCCAGCCTAACCCTCGTCTGATTTGTAAGAGCCTCCGATGAATTTGTAGCTAGTAGTCCCTGCGAGCGGGTCTTAGCAGCAGAGCGAAGATGGCTCCAAGGTGACGTGGCCGGCAACGAAATGCCATAACCCTATCTGGCCAGGTCAGAGTCTGCAGGGCTCCAAGGGGTTGTTGGTGACAGAACAGCCAGCCTTGCTTGACAGCAGGATATTGGGTGGGGGGCGGGGGGGGGGAAGGGGGTGAAGACTGGTCATTTGAGGTCAGGGATTCTAACCGCTCAACACCGGCTAATCCTGCACAACAAAACCCGAGTGTACGAGCTGGACAAGTGTCTTTGTCTGATCCCGATGCTCCAACAACAACGCGAGTTTGTCTGGGGACCTTTACGTCAGGAGACCCCCCCCCCCCCGCTCATTCGGTCTACGGCAGCGCTCTTACCGTTGCAATAGCCGCCCCCCAACCCGCTGCCCGGCCGACTTTCATGCTAAAATGGACGACTTTCCCGGTTACTATCTCGTCGCCGACGTCATCGCTTCCTGCATCGCTCGCGCCCGGCAAAAAAATGGGAGGTGACCCCCCCCCACAATGGCCCCTGAAGTGAACAGGTGGCAAATACAGGCCTCTCGTTGTATATAGAGCGGGTTGGGATCCCAGCCTGCCTTCTAATCGAGATGTAATATCGCACAGAGATAAATAACAACAACAACTTGCATTTATATAGTGCCCCCCCCCACCCCCCCCATCCCCACTTCCCTCCACCTCGCGCAGGGTAGAGTCTCAGAGCTAGACTCCCTGTTTTTTGCGCTTTAAAGCATAGGCGGTGCCCCTGGGAGGTCTTTCCCGATGTGAAGGGCGCTGTACCAGCGCAATTTGTCGTTTTAATGAACGGTAATAATCCTTGCATTTAACGCAGTGCCTTATCGCGTCTTCGAAGACGCCTCAAGGCGCTTCGCAGGACGCACTGGGGGCGAACTTGTGTGTCGTAGTCCCGATTAAGCGCTTCACCTTCGGGATCAATGAGGAACGCACCGATTTTATCTCACTGTTGCCGATGATGCCGCCTATCTCTCCCAGGTCCTTGAGGAGAAGATTCAGGATCTCGGTCGCCCTCTTCTTTTGATGGTTACTGAGCTCCTGCAGTTGACTGAACTCCTTCTGTACGGCGATCAAGGCACTCTGCGAGGAATTCAGATCGAAAAGAAAAGCTTCAGATCGTTTCGCGTCAGTTTTACAAACAAAAGATTAGCGAAAACGGAAATCCCGGTCGCGTAAGATAACTACCGAATTGCCTTGAGATGTTTATTTTATTTTAAAAGGGGAATAAAAAGGGAAACACCAAGGCGAGATGTTTCCTGTCCTGGTTCACCCGCCGTGAGCTGAAAATAAAGCGGTTCGATTTTCGTTCGCCTCCGAGGTCCGGCTCCTCTCCTACACGCGTGAGTTCCCGACAGTCCCAATTCCTTTCACGCGAACGCCACTCGCGCGCCATACATCCCACCACAAACACAGTCGATTGAGCAATTTAAACACGCTCCCATTTCTTGAGGCTTTACGGGGAAAGGGGCAGTGGGATTGTACAGTTTTGCTCTGAGCACCAGTGCAGACCAAAAATAATAGTAATAACCCTCGCATTTGACACAACGCCTTATCCCATCGTCGAGACGTCTCAAAGCGCTTCACAGAATATCCTGTAGAGTGAATTGACCGTATGTTTTGTGGGCGAAACGCGGCAGCCAATTGCGCGCAGCAGCGTCCCCACAAACAAGTCGTGGATTGAGTGACCACATTAATATTTTTTAAACGGGATTATTAGTGTATCATGATTATTGGTACAATGGGCCGAATTTTGCTCTGAACGATTGCAGGACACCCTTGGAGAACCCTTGATGACTTTGGCTGAAAGCAATGAGGAAGAACTACTACAACAACAACAACATTGTTGTCCTGGAGCTCTTGACAGCGGTCGAATCTGACCCCGAGCCAGGGGGCGAGGGAGGAGGCGGGGGGGGGGGGGGGAAGATGACCGTGAGCACGATCGAAAAGGAAGGTCTTTAGGCGGGATTTGAAGGTGGGGAGGGAGGGGGCAAGGCGGAGGGATTGAGGGAGAGAGTTCCAGAGCTTCGGGGCACAGTGGCTGAAAGCACGGCCGCCGATGGAGCGGAGGGGATGAGGGAATAAATGCTGTTGCACACGCAACAGAAACAGACGCCCACCGTCTTCTGTGCCAGTTCCTCCGTCAGCAGCTCGTTGGAGTTGGTCTTGTCCTCGACCTCCTGGGATTTCTGGTCGTAGTTGACGGCCAGTTCCTCCAGGGCCTGAAGCACCTCTTTCACCTCGTCCTTGGCGGCCTCGTTTTCCAACTGCAGCCGGTTCAGTTCCTCCTGGATCTTCTCATAGTCTCTCCGCGTGGAGACCAACAGCTGGGAATAAGCAGACACTCTCACTGTCAGAGATTCCTCGGGGAAATCACAAGCAAATCATTCCGACGCGAGAATAGAGCCCACAGTAATAACAAGAACATGCATTCACACAGCGCCCTTCACGCAGGGCTGTGTCTCGGAGCGCTTAACAGTGGAGGAGCCTGACACCGAGCCGGGTGGGGGGGGGTGTGGGGGGAGGGGAAGAGGTGACCGCAAGCACGGTCGAAGAGGGAGATCTTCGGTCGTGACCTAAAAGAGGGGAAGGGGGCGAGGCGGAGGGATTGAGGGAGGGAGTTCCAAAATTTTGTGGCTGAAAGTGTGGCTGCCGATGGAGGAGACGAGGAATAAGCAGGAGGGCAGAGCTAACCGAGGGGAGGCAGCGGGTAGCGAAGTGGGGAGACAGCAAGTCAGAAGGGTAGGGAGGTGCCCGGGGGGGGTGAAGGGATTTGTAGACGAGTGAGAGCACCTCAAACTGGCTCAGCCTCCCAGAGAGCACTAACTTTGTCGAGCTGATTAATCCTAGCACTTTGCAAAATTCTGCACCGATCTCATTCTTTAAGGCATTGAGAGATATTAGGCTTCGGATCTATTTGGATTAAACATCCACATCGCGTCCGTTACTGTGGGCAAAACTCACCTCTTCCTGATCCAGCATCTGTTGCTTCAGCTTCTCGGTCAGTTGACTTTGCTGATTAATTTCTTCATCCTTTTTGAAGAGACAAACAGGGCAGACAGTAAAATCGGAGAGAAACTGAGCGTGGGGAGGTCTTCCAATTCGGTCAGTACAGGGGAGCACTGCTTATGGAGCATCCTGTGATACTATGGAATAGTGCTCCACTTGTCTCACGTTCAAATCCCTCCTTGGTCTCGTCCCACCCAACCTCTGCCGCCTCTTATAATGTTGATAGTTTGTTCACCAGGTATCTTGTCCAGCCATTTTTAAATAATATTATTAACAGTCCCAGTTGCACTGATGATTATAGGAACTATGTCTATATTACATTGCCGCATACGTCCACATTCATTTTGTAGATCGATATATTTCCTGATTTTCTCTAGTTCCTTATGTAATTACTTGGGCTTTTATTCTTATTAGCAGTTATTTTTATTCTTATTGTTGTTATTATTGTTATTATCATTGTTATTATTATTGTTAGTGCAGTAAACCTCACATAAGTCGTATCAGGTGGGTCCATACATTTAATATGACTGGTGCAAAGTATGAGTTAAGTGAAATTTATAAGTAATAGGAAATTCACCAGGACTCTGGCAGATGGAAGACTTTTAGGCGATTGTACGATTTATAGACAGATTAGTGTTAGGAAATAATATTCTCGGCTGCAGTATATAATTTGGGACACAATGTGTGCATGTGATTGCCAGGATGGTGGAAGGTGAACTGGTTCTTTCACCTCGTAAATTCTTTTCTTCTAATAATAATAATAATAATCATTGCGATTGATATAGCACCTTATCACATCTTCGAGACGTCTCAAAGCGCTTCACAGAATATACTGCAAAGTGAATTGACTGTATATTTTGTGGACGAAACGCGACAGCCAATTACGCACAGCAGCGTCTCCACAAACAGTCGTGGATCGAGTGACCAAATTATTATTACTTTTTTTTTAAAGAATTATTGCCCCTGGAAAGCGATCTGCCAATCGACTAACAACCAACCGGCTTCCTACGTACTGCTCGGTAAACAGAAGCGCGAGGAGTAAGGAAACTTGCCTAAGGTTTCGGACAGCCTGGGAATCAAACCCGGGTCCTCTCGCTTGCGAGGCGAGTGCTCTAAGCACTGAGCTACAGGACTCCTAAGTTGTACGGATCAGAATTTTGACTGTACTATCACAAACCTTATCGTCGAGCTGTTTGTACAAATTGCTGATCTCCTCCTCTAGCTTCAGCCTCTCGCCGGCTGTTATCTTGGCCACCGGGACGACATTATCGATGGTCGTCTGGTTGTCACACGGCTCCAGGTTCTTCTCCTCCTTGGCATCAATCTGCTCATCTTCGGGCACAGATTCTCCTGCCGCGAGAAACAGGCAAACAAGACTTTGGAGCCAAACGTGCGACAACACAGTTTCTACGGCAACCCCAGTAGCAGGACCCACTCAATATGCACGGATTAAAGCCTGGCCCCAAATGGATGCAAAGGCTGACTACCAGAGAGACAGAAATAGATAAGTCACGCAACCAGCAAGACAGGAAGGCTTAATCGGCAGCTGTGACCTTGTCCAGTAATTTAGTCGCCCGAGCGTTTGTCAGGTAGAAGATACAAGGGTTTTTGTTTTCTTTACTAGAATTACTAGAAATTAATTCATTGATATTACACGCCACGACGGGAAGTATCAGCTTGGCTCAGTCGGCAGCACTCTCTCACGCTGTGGGGGCAAGAGGTTGCGGGTTTAAGTCTGGGTTCTGAGCTCGCAGTCTGGGCTGACAAAATATACGGTCGATTCACTTTACGGTGTGTTCTGTGAAGCGCTTTGAGACGTCTCGAAGGCGTGATGAGGCGCTGTATCAAATGCAAGGATTATTATTATGTTATTATAATGATGATGATGATGATGACACTCCAGGACAGTGTTGAGGGGAGTACTGTCTCTCTCTCCTCGAGCTCCAATAAAACATTCCCTCCTTTCTCCCCCCCACCCCCTCCCCCCCACTCCCAAGAGTACATACTGCACTTTCCCCACTGTGCAGAGCTGCACATGTGGAGTGCAAATTGCTCTTTCCCTGTAAGATGTGATGGCAAGGACACAAGACGGAGGGTAGAGTGTAAAAATGCCGTGTCTACAGAGAGAAAATTTCTGCGCTAACAGCAACATCCGTTTGGCGAAATCTTTGCGACAAAAATTCACTTCGGCTAAAATTCGGGCTTAAAAATAAAACAAAGGAATAAGATCGCGTGCTTCAAAAGGCCAGCGTTCGGTCTGTTAAAATGACAGGGAAACCGAACCTGATGGCAATACGTCTGCCTATAAGAACACGAGAGATTAAACCAATTGCGTATTGACATCTGCCTGCTGGCTGGACAAAGAGCTTAACAAAAGTCCCGAAAGCAATACACCAGCCGCCATCTCAACCTCCGACTCACGACTGCTCAACTCGCTTTCGATTCCGTCAAGCAAAACGAAAAGTATCCTGGTTGTACTCCGGTAAATAGACAGCTGTTGAGAGACCGCACTTTCAATCCACGTGCTTCTTTTTCTGAGTGAATCAAGGCATCAACCTGCCTCAGGCAACCCACCCATCCCAGTTTCTTCCCCCTCCTCCCCCCCCGCCTCCATACTGAGGTCTTTCTCATTTTCACTAAAGCACATCGAATTCTCGATTTCCTCCATGTTGTGACAGACGAGATTCCCTTCAGTTGTGTGCCAGGCCATTGCCTTTTAACGTGGCTTTTGTGGGCTATACATCTCATCCATCAAACCTAATTCAGCCCCGCAAGCTAAACGTGAAGGCTATTTATAGCCTGCAGTCCTGCAGTAATAAATACCTTTGCTTGCTCCTTACTCAGACAGCCCGCAGATATCAATAAATAATTGGTCCTTCCAGTACGAAGGTTTGCCTGATCTCTCGAACTCTCTTACATGCTTATGTATAATGAGTAGATTCGATTCCCTGTCAACTAACTTGTGCGCTGGCGAAGAGGGAAAAGGTGATGGAAATGGGACTGCGCCGCTCACTCAACTCAGCTCCCAGAATAATATTCTTTCACCTCCGGGATCTACAATGGATTCCAGAACGAATTGAAGCAATTCATTTCAGTTAAATGAATTTTGGACAGCATCAATACACAAGTGTTTCCCGAACCCGCTTTCGGATCTGCTCCTGGCTATCTTATATTTGTGCTCTCTCATTTTTTTTTGGACTCACCAACAATCTCCACCTTGTGAAAATCTTTAACATAATCTCAAGCCCCTCTCTACCAGATCTCCATCGCCTCAAAATCAAGAAAGAAAAGCTCCAACTTGCCCAATCTTTCTCCATAGCTGTATTGTAGAATCTTATAGGGCAGAAGGAGGCCATTCGGCCCATCGTGCCTCTTTGTAAGAGCTACCCAACTTGTCCCACTCCCCTGCTCTTCCGCCAAGCCTTGCAATTTTTTTCTTTTCAAGTAAGCATCCAATTACCTTTTGAAAGTTATTATCAAATATGCTTCCAACACCTGAAAGGGTAGTGCATTCCAGACCGTAACAACTCGCTGTGCAAAAAGATGTTTCCCCTTGTCCCCTCTCCTTCTTTTGCCAATTATCTTAAATCTGTGTTCTCTGTAAACCAACTCAGCCGCCAGTGAAAACAGTTTCTCCTCATTTATTCTTATCAAAACCCCTCATAAACCCCTCCAGGCGACTGGAGCCACTCATCCCTGGTCACATCCTTATAAATCTACACTGAACTTGCTCCAATATCCTTCCTGCAATTTGGCAAACAGAACTGAACACTGTAAGTACTCCAAATATGGTCTAACCAAGTTATTTGTGCAGATGCAACATTATTTCCCTACTCCATTCCTCTGAACATAACGCCAAGGAGTCTATTTGCATTTCTTAGGACTTCGTCCACTTGTGTTGCTCATTTCAGAGCCTTGTGAACCCCAAATCCTGGATCCCTTTGTTCCCCTTGGGTTTCCCTTCAATTAGCTGCAGTTTGATGTCATTACCGTTCCTCCATCTATTCAGTTCCATCTCCAGATGCTGAAGCGCATTCTTCAGAGACTTGTTCTTCTCCTTTTCCTTCTCATATTTCTTCTTCCATTCCTCTGCCGTTAACTCCAAGTTGACAGATGCAGTGTTCTTGATGGTCTTTGCTCTGTTAGAAGGAACAATTTATAAGACCGTACATAAGAAATGCTGGATGAATAAAGACCAAGGTCCATTCAGTACACCTTCCACCGCATGCAAATATATCCCAAACTACCTACGTACTATATCCCATAATGTTATTTCCTAGATTTATAAATATATGCATTCATTCATATATGCATAGATATATATATATTTCTCTGCTTCTATGTAAAATTATGCTGTATGTTGCAAAGCCAAATTATGACATTTCAGGGAAAATATCTTTTCTATATTGTCGGAAACTGGCTGTTTTTTTTTAAACTCTTAAGGCTTTATCTCTTGCAGCTAACTAGTTCACTGGTTCCATATCCCCGAATGCTTACTCCCCAATCCACTACCCGTTCCCTCCACTCAATTGGCTCCGGCCTCCTGCCTGTCCCTCCGTTTCACCATCGGCGACCATACCTTCAGCCACTACGCCTCGAAATTCTGGAACGCTCTCCCTCAATCCCTCTACTTTGCCCCTTCCATCCCCATTCTCGGGAGGGAGATGGGGGTGCGGTGGCGGAGTGACTGTACATATGGTACTTACAGTCACCTTCCCCCCTCCCTCTGGTTCAGTGTCGTGCTCCGCTACCCTGCGCGAGGGACGCTATACAAATGCACGTTATTGTTGTTGTTGTTGGCAGGTGTGGGCTTCCTGCGAACTGGGTTATACCGAAGCCCCAGAAGCCTGTTTGCAGGACAATCCTACCTCTGCCCAAACATGAGGGTGGTCTTTGTCTCGGCGTCATTGTAACTGGAGGGTGAGCAGCAGATGATTATGGTCGTTCGGCAGTTTCCACCGAGGGAATCTTGGAGAATTCTGGTCATCTTACTGTCACGGTACGGAACGTGCGATTTCTAATGAGGCAAGAAAAGATTTCACGGTTACTGGAAAGAGCTTATTCCAAGAATTAAACATAATCTGAAATAATAATAAGAATAATATATCCTTGCATTTGATAGAGCGCCTTATAACATCATTGAGACGTCTCAAAGCGCTTCAAAGGATATACTGTAAAGTGGAATTGACTGTAGATTTTGTGGGCGAAACCCAGGAGCCAATTGCGCACAGCAGCGTCCCACAAAAACTCATGGAGGACTCCGTGACCAAATTATTATTATTATTATTATTTATTAATTGCTTTACTGTTCTATCGGTCATTGCTCTTTTGAACTTCCCTCTTACGTTCCGCCACATAGAAATTGTTCGTTCATTCCATGGCTGTTCGTGGAGCAATGTCTGCACAAATTGGCTGCTGCACTCGCCCACTAACGCACAGTCATTACAGCTCAAGATAAAATACTGTGAAAAGCTTGAAGATGTTTCAATGACACGACAAGGTACTGTCTCAAACGCAAGGTTTATTATTATTTTTACATAGTCCAGGGCACTCTTCTTCCACTATGTAGCCTCCCACGGTCTACGAGCTCTTAAAACCCAAGCAAAACATTACAAATGCACATTTCAATTCCCACATCCTACGTTAATCATAAGCCTTCCTTTCAAATTAAAGGAAGTTACATCTGTGTCGATTTAATTCGCCCCGCGAGCGAGAGGACCCAGGTTCGATTCCCGGGCAGAGCAAAATCGTAGCCAAGTTTCCTTACCCCACAACACTCTGTTTACCTAACAGTAAGGAGGAATGTGGTTGTTATTCAATTGGCAGATCGCTTTCTAGAGGTAAAAATCCCTCCCCTCCTCCCAAAATAATAATCATTTGGTCACTATCCATAACTGGTTGTAGGACTCTGCTGTGCTCAATTGGCTGCCGCGTTTTGACCACAAAATATAGACAATTCGCTTAACAGTATATTCCTGTGAAGCGCTTTGAGAGGTCTCGAAGACGTGATAAGGTGCTATATCAAATGTAAGCATTATTATTAGTATTGGTATTATTATTTTAATACAGGTTAGCTGTCATGTCAAAGCGAATACACGGAAAAGAGAAAATTTGGCGACAACGATTCTCTAGTGAGAAGACTTACAGTTCCCTCGGCCAGTGCGGAGATCACATTTCCTAGAGCGGAGAGAGACTTATTGATGTTTTTCGCTTCATCAAGGACAGCTCCTTCAGCTCCGGTTTTGCTGACCTGCGACAGACAAAACAAGTCAAATGGTTGGACAGGTTGGCAAGAAGATATTCTTAGTTTAATTGATACTCATCGCTTAGGTATTAATTCAAACGTATTAAAAAAAACTGCCACCTTTTGCCCACAAAATACAGTCACTGCACTTTACAGTATGTTCTGTGAAGCGCTTTGAGGAGACACGATAAGGCGCTATATCGAATGCAAGGATTATTGTTATTATATTTGATCACTGTGTTGATGCAAATGCGCATTTTTTTAACAAAAAAAAGTACTTTTTAAATATAAACTCGGGGTTTCTATCCCGCTTGCTGCTAAATGTTGCATCTTTAGTGATGAGGATTTTGACGGGTGCTATTGATTTGCGAAATATAGAGGTGGTCGGAGGGGGGAGGGGGAGGGGAGTGAGTAAGCTATGGCCGCACCAAATGAGAACAGATCAATGCACCAAAACCGACACCCAAAGCAGATATGATTCACTCACCTTTTCGCTACCGGCCAAGTCAACGAGGTACAGTTTCCCACTGAGTTTCTTCTCCGTCTCCACGTTCTCCTGCTTGATGTTGATGAGGAAGATGCTGTGGCTTCGAGAACTGTGTTCGTTCATGTCTGCACAGGGCAAAGGAAGTGAATTAGCATCAACAAATCTTTCACTAGCTTCCCTCAGTGACAATTAAACATCCCTGAAGACCCCCAAAGAAACGTGAAAACACGACTGAACTTGAAGGAAAGCGATGTTAATTAAGCGCTCGTCGTCCCGGCCAAATACTGCGAATCGGTCTCAGCTACATATAGATCCTTAACCACATTTTCCCTCCGAGGATAAATGGTGATATGCGTCACTGGAGGAAACCCATTGCTTTGAGCCACTGCCATAGTAAGCCAGCTCTGGACGGCGAAAACAAGGCTGATAATAATAATAATAATCCTTGCATTTGATATAGCGCCTTATGACGTCGTTGAGATGTCTCAAAGAGCTTCACGGAATATACTGTAAAGTGAATTGCCTGTATTTTTGTGGGCGAAACCCAGCAACCAATTGCGCACAGCAGTGTCCCACAAACAGTCGTGGATTGAGTGACCAAATTATTAATAATTTTCGGAGGGCTTAATACCCCCAGAAAGCGATCCGTCAATTGACTAACAACTAGGTTACTGCTAAGTAAACAGGCATGTGGAGTAAGGAAGTTTGCTTAAGGTTTTACCCTGCCCGGGAATTGAACCCGGGTCCTCTCGCTTGTGAGGCGAGTGCTCTAACTAATGCCCTACAGGACTCTCGTAGCTGATCAAGTTATTTAAAAGCTACTTTACTGTATTAAAAAAACAAGAATTTAAATAAATCAGCGACGAGTAAATGAGTGCAAAAACATTCAGCGAGGCTAGGACAGGATGCAATTAAAGAACAAAGCCAACTGAGTACAGTTTTCAATTAATAATTTAAATAATGATTCAATACTTTGTGGTGGTTGTTTGGAGGGAGAGAAACAAGAAACAGTCAACTTCTTAAGCAAACTCATGCGCTTTGGGATGGCCTCCCAAAGTCATATTCAATATGGTGCAAATTTACATTTATATTGCACCTTTCTCTCTCAGACTTATGGTGAGCTTGCAACAGACTAATGCTGATGGTGCTTAACCTGAACAAGCTGTATAGAATAGGAATCTTCCTTGAATACATATTAAGCTTTACTTCTCAAAGGCGGAACATCAATCTCTGAGGAGTGTTTAGTACGAAGCACTTGGAGCGGCTTCAATCTGATTGATAAAATCCTCACCAGCTTCCCTCGACACACGTGTAATTGGTGTATAATGATAAGCCTCGCATTTGATATAGCGCCTTACCACGTTGTTGAGATGTCTCAAAGCGCTTCGCAGAATATATTGTAAAGGGAATATTTTATGGGTGAACGTAGTACTATCCTATGTATTATATATAATATTATTGTATATAGTATATATTATATATATATAAATATATGTACACACATTATATATAATATACAGGGTGACCAAAGTCATGATAACCTCCCTATTATCTAAAAAAAATCATTTCTTTAAGGCTTAGTATCCCTTGAACCTCTTTGAGACTGGTCGATAGCGTGTTAAGGCGCTGTATCAGATGCGAGGATTAATGTGTTGTATAGTTGAAGCACAAGTGATTAGACACTTACTTGTGACTGCTACATGGCGGTTAGCCTTTCCTTCATCAATAACGTCCATTACTTCTTCAGGACTGGAGACAAATCTCTCTGTACAACCCTGGCAGAAACAATTTTTTTAACATATTTTAAAAGAAAGTTAGACTCTCCTGTGAATGTTGCGAAACTCCTCCAAAAGATATATAGATTTCACATCATCTGTGTATCGTGACGTGGGATTGATTGAATTCCGAATACACCAGCGGGGGGGAAATTGGGAAGGGGGTGGTGGGGGCATGTGATGTGATGATTAACACCAATAAACATCACATTGTGTGGCCCATTTTCCCCCCATCTGGTCCACTTGGAGCTCAATCGTCTCCGTGATTTATTATTGATTGCGTTTCACTAACACCACCACCACCATCGCCACCGAAAGTGTGCACAGTTAGTTTGACTTACACGTTTGGCAGTTTCCCAGTGTCTGGCACACCTTAAAGCAAGTAACTAACTCAAAAGGTTTTTTTTAAACCACTCGCACAAGGAACACTATTGTGTGAAAGCTGTGGAGCACAGGCTTCACAAGGTAGCGTCTTAAAATTAAGAATTAAGTCTTAAAACTGAGCCAGAATCTCGCCAGGCATCACTGCAACAACCCACCCCATCCCTGCATTCATCCCAATGGAAAACGTTGCAGGTTTAATTGGTGTTCATATTGTTCAGCATCTCTCCGATGGCCCCAGTGGGAGAGCACACCGTACAATGAAACGCTGAGCTGTAATAGAACCAAAATGTCACTGATTTCCACCCACCCCTGTATCTGTCCCATATGAGCTGATGACACAGTTAAGAGGCTACAGAGAAGCTACAGTTAGCCTCGGTAAAACAAAACATGGGCTGGAGGGAAGCAAGTCCTGTAGGAAGACTGGACTTATCACATACTACAGAAACCTGCAGATAATTCCTACACTCTCATGCCTAAAAATCGGTAACTCAGGCTGGTCCAACTGGCGGCCCAGGGGCCGCATCCGGCCTCCCTAACTTCCGTTTCATTTGGCATTCCTGCATAACCTGTAAATGTTATGTTTCTGGAAGGGAAACGCAAAAATATTGCTTCTGCGGCCCGCTGATGTTTGTCAAATAGGGCATCCGGCCCTCAGCAACCGAAAGGTTAGATCACCCAACCCTGGGTTATGTAATAAAGCCCCTTTTATCTAAAGATATTCTACCTTAACATATGGCACTCTGTTCTTGTCCTCATGCACGGAAAGGTTGGTCTTTGAAACTGTAAAATAATATTAACAAAGTCAACAATTTATAAACTGCTATACAGCTGTACCTGTATCTTAGTTTGATGAAACTGTGGTAACTGAGCATTTAACTCACAACTTTCTTGTCAACTGTTCCGCTGATCCCACATTCAATAATGTAGAATATCCATTGAAGAATTCACAACAATTTGTCCCATAAAATCTTTTCACATTGTTTGTCCCAAAAGGCCTGACTACGTTTTCAGATCTTAGAAGGTCAATAAATTCAGATGGTCAGGAAGCTTATTGGCACAGCTTGGTTTGTGGTCAACACTTAATGCCTAAACTAGCCAACTTCTCAAACTCTCCCCTTCAGCACTTATTAACACTTATCGTCACTTTGGACATGACTGGTAGTTTCCCAATGTCCGGTACTCACACTCCTTAAAACAAGTTACTATCTTATAGGCTTCCATCAAAGTTTTTTCATTGTCATCTTACCTCCCCCACCGACCCCCCACTCAATCAACTGAGAGGTTTTCCTCCTGGAGCTCTGTACTCCCATTTTGTTTATTTTCCAATGACTTCCTCCATTTGTCATTCAGCACGGCCGCCCTATATGTTCATCCTCCTACCTGGATTGCAACCGACAGTGACTGAATTGCCAACTACTCCAATCCATTCTTGCCCAGGACAGGCAGACAAGAGAGACCAATACATCACTCCCTTCAAATCATTTCCTTAAATGAGAAAAAAAACCTTGTGCCCTCGACTCACATCTAATGTTTGTGGTCTTTATTCAGATCCAAATGAACGGAAACCTTAGCATTAAGGATACTCAGAATCATAGAATCTTACAGCACAGTAGGAGGCCATTCGGCCCATCGTGCCTGTTCTTTGAAAGAGCTATCAACTAGTCCCACTCCCCACACTTCCCCCCATAGCCCTGCAAGTTTTTCCTTTTCAAGTACCTATCCAATTCCCTTTTGAAAGTTATTATTGAACCTGCTTCCACCACTCTTTTAGGCAGTGCATTCCAGACCGTAACAATTCTACTTGCACCATATTCAAACAGAAAAAAAATCTCTCTTTAATGAAAATATTTTCATTTTCATTTCGCCTCGAAAACGAAGACATTTCTCTTACCATCTAGTAAATCGCGGATTTTGTCCAAATAGATCTCAAAGTAGGAAACCTGTAAGAAATTACAAAAAAGACATATTTTAAAAACAAACCTGTACCAATTTGCAGGTTGGGTTAAACATCTGCAAACATATGCTCACAGAGGGAATCGGAAGTACCCTTAATAATGTAATGTAATTAACAGGAATTAAATTAAATTAATCTGCGATATTTCTTGTCGGATGTTATAACGATGACCGCAACTTGCATTTATATTGCGGCCCCCCCCCAAGCCAGGAGGTGTCCTAAAGCCCTGGGATGTTAATTGCGTAATTAATTTAACTAGAAGTACAGAGTTAACCCAACCCACATCTTTGGTTCACTGGTTGTTTACCCAACTCTTAAACTGGACACCGCTCGGTTTTCTGAAAAAGAGAACAAAACGCTTGTCACGTGTGATTTACCTTAATGTGAAACTCTAGGTTTTCATCCATGGAGTAGATGTGATCAAAGATGTCGTGCGCTATTCTTGGAATGATTCCCATCAGGTGGGTATTATGAAGCTTTCCCTGTGGACATAACGCGCAATATTAAAAAAAATAGCACATCGGGTTTCGTTTAGACACATCCCAAGTGTGACTTGTTTAATGACTGACTGCCTTTCACTGCACATTGAACCAATTGAGGACTACAAGAATCACCTGTAGTAATTATTATTACTATTAGTACTACTACTAATAAATCTGAGTTGCGTGACCCATTTGCCAAACACTTCCGTTCTGTCCGCAAGTGCAACCCTGAGCTTCCGGTTTCTTGCCACTTCAACTCTCCCTCCGACTCGCACTCTGATCTCTCCATCCACGGTCTCCTACCCTGTTCCATTGAGCCACAGCGCAAGCTCGAGGGCAGCACCTCATTCATTCATCTGCTAGAGACCTTACAGCCCCGTGGACTCAATATTGATTTCAACAATTTCAGACCATAACAGCTCATCTTCCCCTTCCCCCTCTGCGACCGCTACCACATCATCTGGGTCCCAGACACACCTTTTCTCTCTCTGGTCTGCCTATTTTGTTGTAATTTCCCCCCCTCCCCCTTTGTTTTGCATCATTAACGTCTCTTTAATCCATCATCCCCTGTCCTCTATCTGCTTTCTCCCCACTCCACTACCTGCTGCTTCCACTCGGCTGGCTCCGAGCTCCTGCTTATCCCTCGTCCCCTCCGCTCCACCATCGAGGGCCGCACTTTCAGCCACTACTTCCCAAAGCTTTGGAACTCTCTCCCACAATCCCTCCATTCTTGCCCCCACCTTCCCCTCTTTGAGATCACGCCGGAAGCGCTACCTCTTCGACGGTGCTTACAGTCACCTCTCCCCGGCTCGGCGTCAGGCTCTGCCACTGTTAGAAGTGCCCAGGGTGAAGGGCGCTATCTAAGTGAAAGTTGTTGGACGTCACTTCAATGTATGACATAAGTGGACACCAGGCACGCATTGCCCACCTACCTCCATCGTATGTGTTTTGCCAGAGGAGGTTTGGCCATAAGCGAAAATCGTGCCATTGTAACCATCGAGCACATCTGCAAAAGAATAGAGTGTAGAACATGACCAAAGTATAGACAGACGGAACCTCCACTGGAGTCCATTTACACCCACTGAACTGCATTATAAATCCTTTCATAATGATTAAAATTAAAAAAAAGTAATGAAAAATTTTATAACTAGCTGTTTATAAAAGTGGGACTTCGATGTGAGCAATTGGCTGCCGCGTTTTGCCCACAAAATACACAGTCAATTCACTTTACAGTATATCCTGTAAAGCCCTTTGAGGCGTCTTGAAGCCATGATAAGGCACTATACCAAATGCAAGGACTATTATTATTATTACTGTTATAGTCTTTATTGTAACGGCCCAAATATTTGCACAAATGTAATGTGCCACGCGTGGTATCTTAATTCATTGAATAAGTTTAGAAAGGCGTTATAAAATTACTCGGGGTTTTGACCCCAGGGTAAAAAAGGAGAAGTTATTTTTATCAATAGGGGAGTCAGTGAAAAGTGGACAGTAGTTATACGATAGCCACAAGAACAACAAAAGGAGAACTTAGAGGGATTTTTTTCCCCAAGAGTTGACACATCCTAACAATCCAACAATGTTAAGTATGGCGGTGGGGACACAAAACCTTTGTATCTTTCAAACAGGAAGTAGACAGGAATATGAAAGAGGAGGTTGAAAGGTATGAGGTTAAGGTGGGGCAACGGGATTAAATTGATCTCCTTGCTCTGTTAAGAGAGAATAAAGTTGAGGGATAGGGGGCTGAAACCTGGGATATGGGACTAGAAATAGGATCAAGGAGAAGCACTCATGTGAGTCATAAACACCAGCCAAATGGCCGGTTTCTGAGCTGTACCCATGAAAACCAAACCAAACGTTTGCCAAATTATTCCCAAACCTTCACCTCCCGCCCTCCCCTCGCCCTGTTTCAGTACAGTGAAACTCTCCTCACCTTTGACAATCTGCTTGGCACATGCGTTGTAAACTTGCTCCTGGGTTGTGTTCGAGGGAAACACTTTGTCAAACATGAACGGTTTTCCTTGCTGAAAAAGGAAGAGCAAGGAAAGATGAATAAACAACGGCATTGTGTGTTTTATTTTGGTGTGCGCCTTGGCATTTTGGGATCCAACCCATCGAACATCTGGCAAGATTGACACCCGTCAATTAATTGGTCGCTGGAAGTAGAAAAATCATCCGTGCAGCACATACAACTCAACATACGTGATTTAAAACCCGGTTTCAACTGTCCAGTTGATAGCAAATGCCCCTTTTGGTACTTGACACAGCGCTTCTCAAAGCAATTCCTACACCCACCTGGGGTGCAAGTCAAGCCAAACAGACATGAGTGACTGTCCTCCGGCCTGGGTGGGAGGGGATTGGGGGGGTGGTGAGGGAGGGGGTGAGCAAGGTCGTTTTGGAGCTGAACTAGCCCCAAGGTGATGTGCTTGACAATGTGATGTCGGAATTGAGTCAATCCTCTGTGGCAGTCTCAGTACCATGTCACCACAGAGAACCGTCAAGCGCTCATTAACTATTAGGAAAATCTTGCAAATAACACAATCGATCTGCTTGTTGTTTTCACCGAAGTTGAATTGAACAGACGCGGGAGGGTGGGGGGAAGGCAGTGATGGGGGAAGGAAGGAGGGGAGACTTTTCCACCGCCTCCCCAATTCTAAAGGCTTGGAGACAATCCATCATTAACTTGCTCCTGTAAAAATGAGATGCTTCTTCCAGAACAATCACGTCTCAAAGCCATGGTACATTGGCCAGACATCAAACCCGTAATGTTCAAAAAAATCAATTACATGCTTGAATTATAGGCTTGATATTACCTTTAGTCTTACTTTATGGATATTTTATTGCCTGTCATATTCACCGGCCACTGATTTGCTGAATCAGGACCAACAGGCTGACGTGACTGGAGTTACTCTTACACTTAACTCTTAACATAACTCTCAATTTAACATAAGCTGTACTGATGGACTGATCATTTTTTATTGTATTGAACTGGGCAGGAATGTCCAGGAAGGGGAAAAACGTGCTAAATATCAACATAAGTAGACCCCGTCTGCTCCTTCCGCTCAGCAGGCTCCGGCCCACCCCACCATCGGCGTTCAGGCCTTCAGCTCCTCTGCCCCCATCCTCTGGAACTCCATCCCACATTCTCTTCGCCTCACTCCCTCCTTTGCCTCCTTCAGAACACGTCTAAAGACCCTCCTCTTGGATCGCGCCTTTGGTCACCCTCCTACACCTACGCTCCACCATCACCGACCCTGACCCCTAGCTCGGGTCCAAATCCCTGACTTGAGACACCCTCCCAGCGTGAAAGGCGCTATACAAATATAATTTGTTGTTATTGTTGTTGTAGTAGATAATGCTGTCAAGCTGTGCACACAACAGCACCACACTGCACTCTCTCTCTACTCGCCCAAGCCTATCTCACTGGATAATCTTCGATGGGATCACAAGATTGGTTTGGATGAAGAAGGCCCTTTGGTCCATTTAATCTCATCCCCTCCAGAATACCCACTCAAACGTCCATGGGAATGGTTCTATTTTCCAGGGCAGCCAAGCCTGAATAAACTGACACGTTTCTCCAATGAGAATGCAACCAAGCCCAAGCAAGAGGCTGTTTAGATATCAGGGGAGCACACATAGTGCAAGGATAACGTGTTTGTTTTTCAGCAGAAGATAGCCCTGGAGTTGAATGGGTGGGACAGCCTCATTCGTAGCATCTTGCGAGGAATTACCTCGAAAATTACAGCACAGAAACAGGCCGTTCAACCCAACAAGTCCGTGCTGGTGTTTATATCCCACATGAACCTCCAGCCATCCCAATTCCCTCACCTGTACCCCTATTCACTGCTCCCTCAGCATTTCCTATTAAACATGATGATGTTTTTTGCTTTCAACCAAAGCCCTCGGCACATTCTCATTATCTTCTGCGTAAAGAAGCTCGCCCTAAACTCTGAATTAGATAGAACCATAGAACTTTACATCACAGAAGTCAGCCATTTGGCTCATGATTCGCCCACAAAATATGCAGTCAATTCACTTTACAGTATATTCTGTGAAGCGCTTTGAGATGTCTCGAAGACGTGATAAGGCACTTTATCAAAAACCCCTAAAGTTGATACTTTTTAATGCATCTGTCTATTCCCTCTTGAAGGCTAATTTCAACTGGCTATCTTATAACTACGCCCCCCGCCCCCCCCCTACAACCACCAACTCCTTGTTTTGGACTCATCAGCAGATACATAAATTGGGGCTGGAATCGTGTTTTTCAGAGCATTCTATTCCATTGCATGGATTGGGTTTTCAATGGAGAGCTCTCTATGTGCAATCAAATAATCCTATTTTACATTTGATATAGCACCTTATCACATCTTCGAGACGTCTCAAAGCGCTTCACAGACTATGCTGTAATGTGAATCGACTGTATATTTTGTGGGCAAAACGCGGCAGCCAATTGCGCACAGCAGTGTCCCACAAACAGTCGTGGATTGAGTGACAAATTTATTATCATTAATTATTATTATCATTTTTTGAATAAATTATTACCCAATCTGCCAATCGACTAACAACCGGGTTCCTATTTACTTCTAGGTAAACAGAGGCGTGTGGAGTAAGGAAACTTGCCCAGTGTTTTGCCCTGATAGGAATCAAACCCAGGTCTCTCGCTTGCGAGGTGTGTGCTCTAACCACTGAGCTACAGAACTCTACTCCATTCAAAGTGTCAGGGGGTTGTTCACTCTGGAGGCAGTAGATCACCAATGCAGGTTGACAACAGATGCCAGTTTGCAATTCGGTTCCTGTTGCCTTAAATTGGTTCCAGGTAATGGAAAGGACCTCAAAGCACCATTCATAACAGAAATCCATTACACAGTGATTGAGCCTGTAATCTCTAAGGGAACGGCCTCCGTCCTGGAAAACTGCCTCTGAGCAACAGCTAATTCTTGTCGAGTTGCAGAGAGAGATAAAGAGAGAGAGAGAGAGAGAGAGAGAAAGGTGGAGGGGACAGAGTAAAACAAATCTTATAAGAAATATTATGCATTGTGGAAGGTGCCATCCTTTGGATGAGATGTTGAACTGAAGCCCCATCTGCCTGCTCAGTTGGACGTTAAAGATCCTATTCCAAAAGACAAGGTGGTTTTCTTATGGTGTCTCAATCAACAATCAAATAAAATTGGTCATTTACCTCCGGGCTGTTTGTGGGACATTTCCCTGTGCAAATTGACTGCCACATTGCCCACAATACACACAGTCACTGTAAATCCTGTGAAGCGCTTTGAGACGTCCTCCTGATGTGAAAGGTGTTTCGTCAAATTCATTTTTTTTCTTTTTAAGTGTAACATTCCTAACTTAAATTCGGGTCTTCGGATAACTCTGGTGCGTGAGAGACATTTTATCCGTAGGCGTAACTCTTCTGTAAGGTACTATCATTTCTTAGCATTGAAATGACAATTTCTCCTAAAACACAGTCAATACTGTTGGGAGAGAACAATCACAGGGATTGCTAAGAACAACTGAACCACTGCCACTAACATGAGCTTGTCATAGTCCCTGTTCAGATTTACGTACAGAAACTTCTGAATGAAGGTTGCATTGTTCAAACAATTCAAACCGCTCTTATTCGCACTGTTCAGCAATAATAATTACCCCATCTCCCCGCTTTGTTTACACACACTAAGACCGTAGAGATTCCTGAATGTCACTGAACTGTCCAAATGCCTGCAAGTGTCGAGCATCTTATCTTATCTCTAACAAATACACTACAGGACTCCACGGGCATTTCCATTCTGCCTCCACTTAATCCACGTGCACCTAATGTGATTACATGGCTGATTCAAGCATAGAGTTGTGTGTCTTGAGGGGCAACAGTTAGACATTTGCTGCCCTATGTTATGACAAATGTTACAGTCTTCATTTTTACACGAGCGTAGGTGGTGGATAATTTCGACGAGGGTATCATTTAGATATCCCAAATCATTCCTCTCGCACGAACACAGGAATTGCTAGAAGAAAAAAGACCAATGCCCATCTAGTTCGCCTTCTACCATCCTGTTCGTCGCAAGCTACAGTAATGGAGATATTGTGAGGTGTGTCCTCTAACCGATACGCTCGTGGAGTCCTGTAGCGTATTTGTCAGAGCACTCGCCTCGCAAGCGAAAGGACCTGGGTTTGATTCCCGGGCAGGGCGAAACGTTCCGCAAGTTTTCCTTACTCCACACGCCTCTGTTTACCGAGCAGTGAGTAGGAACCCAGTTGCTAGTCAGTTGGCAGATGGTTTTTTCCGGGGTCATTAGTTCCTTCCAAATAAATTTAAATAATTTGGTCACTCAATCCACGACTGTTCGTGGGACACCACTGTGCGCAATTGGCTGCCGCGTGTCACCCACAAGATGTACAGTCGATTCACGTTTCAGACTATTCTGTGAAGCGCTTCGAAGACGTGATAAGACGACATATCAAATACAAGGATTATTATTATTTTTAACATGGATTAGTCTACCATCAAACTGGAAACCTTTGAGAACCTTAGATCCAAAGTTGCCTGGTTCTTCCAAACATACCACATTCTCAAATTGCTCAATACTCTCAATACATTGTTTAAAACATAGCGACAAATACCCCCACCACACACACACGCACACACACACACACACACACAAACATACACTGCTCCAGTTATGCTGCTGCATGTGAGACTATATATATGTGTGCGTGTATGAAGAGAGGCTGGCTAATTTAGGCCTTTTTTACCTCTGGCTCAGAGAAGACTGAGAGGCGATGTGACAGAAATGTTCACGACGTGGATGACAGGGAAGCCAGGAAAAAATATTTCCTTTCATTAGGGAATGGATGACAAGGGGGCACAGTCAAGGCATTGTTAGCAGAACATTAAGGTGATTCAGAAAAACAGGCAGCAATAATAAAAACAATACTACTACTAATAATAATCATTATCCTTGCATTTGATACAGTGTGTTATCACATCATCGTGACATCTCAAAGCTCTTCATAACATTTTACTGTAAAGTGC